AATTGAAATTAATTAAAAACTGTCTTCGTTCAACTATGTCTCAAAACCGTTTAAATTCATTGGCCATAATGGCAATTGAAAATGATGTATTGGAAAAGGTTAACTTTCAGGATGTCTTGAACGATTTTGTAACAAAAAAAGTTAGAAGAGTTAATATTTAAGCTTATTGTATGATTTTTTTTAAATGCATATATTAATTACTTATATTCTTTTCGTTTGATTCAATATTTTTATTGAATAATGTGATAATATACCTATGTAGTAAAAAACAGCGTAATTATGAATAAAGTGTTGTGTTAGCGAAAAAATATATTAGGAAGTTAGAAGACGGTAGGGGGGGGGGCCGAGACGAGCATTGCCTAGGGGCCATGACATGCATAAGCCGGCCCTGGCAATGAGGAGGCAGATAGAGCCGCAAAGAACGCAATCGGCTCAAACATTAAAGATTTCCGGTGTCTGAGGACCCCTAAGATGACTAAAACAGACATAAGAAAACTTATCATGGCGAGATGGGAAAGGGAATGGGGAGAATCGAGTAAAGGTCGGCAGACCTACTAATTCATTAAAACTCCGTCAACTACTAGACTAAAGCAAAATTTTCTTTAAATCAATATTTGACGGGGCACGGAGTGTTTGGAACTTATCAAAAGAGATTTTTTAACAAAGACGATAAATGTAAATACTGTAACGAAAAACAAACACTTGAACATCTAGCCTATTTCTCTCCAAGCACTCCGACAAAATTTATTCAATGATAAAAATGACCAACAAATTTTTGCGAACAATAGATGCAGAGAAATAATCAAAACCGTTCTAGAGGATCTGCTGACACAAGTTTTTAACAACTAATTAATACCTTCATTTCCGGAACAGCTAGTCATTTTTATATTATGAACCACGACCCAAGTTTTTAAAGTGTATTTATACGATTTTAGACCACCTTTTTACTCTACTTACACTTTTACTTGTTTTGATTTTATCTTGCTTATTTTAGGCTTTAACGTTATTTTGGTACAAATTTTTAACTTTCCTTCATTGTACTATTGTTTTACTGACCTCGTGTCTTTTAGTCAATGAATTTTAACAACTTTTTCTTATTTATGTTAATCTGTTTTTTACATTGATTTTAATGTTGACTATTTTATGTCAGTCTTTTGTGTTATTTTAACTGCACTTCTCTTAATCATTTTTGTGATTTCGATCTTTTTACTTTGAGTGCAACATTTATTTTTAATCTTTTAGTAATTTTTATGTCTTATTACATCGATTTTGAGAGTACGCTCGATCTTTTACTAATTTTTATCTAGAATTTTTAGACCCTTTTGGTCAATTGTATAATTTAAGCCTTTATATTTTTTTTTTCCTTTTATCAATTGTCCTTTATAATTTTTTATTATATTATCTGTATTTTAAACTTTAAATTTGTAAATTTTTAAACCACCAGTTTTCGGTCATGAGGTTTGACCCAAAAATACTTTTCACAAAACTTGAATCAACTTCCATTATACATTGACTTATCTCCATTCAGATTCTGTGTCTCACATGGTAGATATGGTAAATTTTATTCATCCTCAATTATTTATAAGGGCCAGCTGGCCTATTTATAAACTTTAATTTAGTTTTTTTTTTCGTAAATTTTTCATATATTTTATTGCAAACATCACTCTAAATGTTTAACTTCACCTGTTAGTTAATAGTCTGAATAATCACAACTATTGTACACGTAAAGCGTTTTAATTCTTGAAGTAAATTTGTAACTTTTGTATTTTTGCCCGATTACCTCCGGGCTGTTGCCAAAATAGTACTAAGTTTTTTCTTGTTTTTAAATAAATGCCAAGGAGGGGCTTTGCCGAGCCTCTAGGTTGGTGCGTGTGCCAGATACTCACTGTCCACCTCCGGCAGGGTGGGAGACAGTCGCGACGACGAGTTGAAAATTTTTCCAGCATACCCATATTTGGGGGGGAGTCGGGACCTAATTAACTTACCATTTTTAAATTTTTTTTATACACATGAGCATAATGCACTTGTTCTTTAAAAGTAATAAGCATTTACAACATTTTCACAAATAGATTTCTGTTGCAAATCCCTATACTCCCCGTGAAGCTACTGCATAACATTTCAATGAGAAAAATTAAAATGAATAATAATAGCTTTAAAAGATAATCAAAGAAAAGAAAAAGATTCTGCAAACTTACTTTCCAAATATCTTGTCTTTTAAAACTAGATTTTTTACGTAAACCTAAAGATAAAGCTTTCCATTTAGAATAAAGCACCAGCCAAGGGTTAAGTTCTACTCCAACTGATTCAAATCCTAATTTTGCAGCAGAAAGTACCTAAAAATCAGGTAAAAAAAATAACATATTAAATTTTTATTTATTAATTCTTAAACATAATAGAAAAATTTCTATGGATGAAGATTTTAAGTAAAACTTTAATAAGATAAAGCAATTTAGAAGGTTTATAAGCTTTTGCCAATTGACAGTTTTAACCTTCTTGACGAAAACAACTCAACATAGTTTTCAAAAATTGGGTACTTGTACTTTAAGAAGAAGATAAAGGATACCCACACACGCGACCTATGACGTTAGCACCAGCTGATTGTTCATAAGCAAAATGGCACGTTAAAATTGGGCTAAGTTTCTATGGATGGAGTTTTCTACACTAGGGAGCGCTGCAAGCTCGGGACTGCCTAAATTTCCGGGTTACTGTTTCAGTTGTATTTTAAAGCCATTTGGCATCATTGTGTTTTGAGATTCTTGCAAACAATGCATTTGATTACTTATTACTTATGTTTACAATGCTAACAATACTGTTTACAATACTAAAAGTGTTAACACTAACGTAAGATGGTGCACAGCTTGTAACACGAACAAACAGTAATAAACAAATGGAAAGAGGCCAAATCAAGACTGCCAAAAAAGCGAGTTATTCAAAATCTAGCAACCATGTCACCTTTTTTAATAATAAATAACAAAATAACTAAAACAAATTTTCACTCCAAACTCCCCAGAATTACATAATAACATTAATATCTTATGAAATACGGCAGATTTGAGCTCAGAAATTATCTAGTTTATTTCTTTTATTGAAAACAAAATTATCCGTTTGAAAACATCGCCTATCAGAATAACATGTAGTAAGCAGCTGCAAACTTTTTAACCGGAACTAGAGTAGGTCCCGAGCTCGAGATTGGTACTGTTTACATTTCTATTGAAAACACCATCCATACATAAGTTAGAATGTTAATTAACGTAAAATTACTTAACATAAATTAGAATGTTAATTAACGCAATGTTAATCAACGTTAGGTGATATAATGTTAAGTAATGCAAAAATAATTAAATTCAGTGCCGTATTGCATATCTAATTTGTTGAAATATAAGATTTAGACACAAGACAGACAAGTATAGGATTGAAAAAGAGCAAATTAAACTTTATAACCATTATAATCAGAGAATGAATATCCAAGTGACACAAAATCGAATAAAAACTAGGGAAAAATCTTGCAAAATAGTCCCTTAATATGTTTTGTCTAAGGGAAACTTGATTAATAAAAATAGGTCAAGCGAATATAGTTCTTACAGTTAGAAAAGGGAAAACTATAAAATGTTAACTAATGCATAACTTGAAGCCGAAAATAGATTAAGACACAGGAAGTGAATAATAAAGTGTGAAAAGGCATTTAGTTTTGAATAATAAATTAAGAAGAAGATTAAGATAAAGAAATAACTTAAAAAGATTAGTTGAAGCTTTCTATGTTACATATATATTTCATGGAAATAGGACCTGAGTTTTTAAGAAAAATGGTTTTCTCAAAATTCTATTAAAAAAAATTGAGTTAATTTCTGATCACCCAACAGTGTCATGTAGTGGAGACATTCATTTTACAATTAAAGATGCTAAATTTTTAAATCTTTAATAACTATTTTATTAATAAATCTATTGTTACTTTTTTATTAGAAAATTGAATTTTAAGTAAATAAATAAATTAAGTTTCAGATCATAAAATTGTAAATATTCTTTGTGCAGCACTCAAAAAAGATCTTTGAAAAGGAATTTTTCTTCCACAAAAATAATTTTTGTTCATGTTTACATTGAAATAAATTTTAAGTATGGATTTACATTTTTATCAATATACCTATCTATATCCTTTTATAATTTTTCTTAAAAATTAAATATATTTTTTTCTTCTTTTTTTCAATAGCATTAAATCTCTTCAGGCCATTGATTTTGAAATATATCTATTTTATTTTTGTTCTAAATTTAATTTTATCAATATGATGGTTGGTTATGGAAAAGGAATAATGAGAAAAATTCTATCTTTACACAAGTAACATCTATCTTAAACAATTAAAGGTGGAAATAAAATCAAACTATGATATAAGTACATGTTAAATGCAAGGCAAATGGTTTGATTATAATTTTAGGAAAAAAAAAGATGTAGGAAGGATTACATTTTTATCCAATAAAAAATAACCTATTCATTCCAGAAAAGGTTACAGTTATTACATCCTTGTTAAAAAAAGTGTAAAAAAAATAATAAAATACATGATACAAAATAGGAGAAATACAAATACAATAATAAAATAAAAATAATAATTAAACACATAAACAAGAAGAAAGCACAAAGAAAGAAGATAATTTTAAGATTTCCAATTAATTTTGGTGTGATATGCTCATTTTTTTTTATTATCAGAAATAGAGCACTGCCAGGACAGATTTACTTTTGACGTAGTAGCTAATACCTATGGAGTTACCACCAAATTAGATTCTTATTGTATTTGATTTAAATTTTGAGTTTCGTCAATGGTAAGTTATTTTCAACCTTTTATAACTTAAGAAAATCAAATTTTTCAATGTTAAAAAATTCATCAAATGTATACGATGTGCTAAATATAATGTGTCTCTAAATTCACTGGACTTAACAGTGCACCATGATTTTATGGACACCCTTTAGTACAAGTTAAAAAAAATACTCCAATGAATTATAAATCAATTATTTTTTTTAAGTAGTTAAATTTATCAATAATATTTTAAATTTGATTTTATAATTATCTATAAATTGTCAGAGAATATTAATCATTGCTTTTTGTAGGGCAAAATTTTGTGAAAAGAAAGTTTATATAAAAAAAACTGTTTTCTTTTTTTTCCGGATAATTGAAATTTTTTTTCAAAAAAGATTTTCCACTGCTGAAAATTTTTTTGGATTATCTACTGAGACTGATTGAATATAGTCTTTTATTTAAACAGAATTTGTAAAATGAAGGGAAAAAGAGTGTACAATGAAAATAAAAGTCATCTGCTGTTACACAACTGATTTTTCAAAGAAAATCTTCTCAACTGATAAATGCTTTTTGGAAATCAGAAAATTTTTGGGAATTAGAAAAAGCCAGTATAGAACATAGGTTAACTTCTTTGAACTTATTCCGAGTCATACTGAATCATAATAATTTTATGCCCTATATTTATATTTTGGATATAATATAAATTATGTATAAATCATATCATGAACTGACATGCCAACTCAATTTGCCAAGGCACTACATGGATTTTAAAATTTCTTTAAAAAAACATGTAGAGGTTTGCCCGAGGGGGGCTACGAGTTATAATCACTCTTCAAGTTAGTTTCCTTCCATGATTTTTGATTTTTTAGAAGCTGCCAAGACTTGGTGATTATTCTACTGCAAATTATGATACAGAAGTTTTCTTATAATGTGGTAGACTCTTTCTAGCATGCAGTAAAGCTTCAAATTTAGTTTTTGAAGAAAAGAAGAAAAAAAAACAATTTTACAAAAGCAAAGTTTGTTAATTACAGGCCTGATAGCATTAAAAGCATACGCTGCATAACTTAACAAAACAAAAATTAAAAAAAAGAAACTTTATAGACATCACAAGATAATATAAATATTTCATACATTTTGTTGGAATCGTTGTTGTATTTATACAAAATAGAATTTACGAAATAAACAGAAGTTCAGAAATCGAGCAAAATTTAAAGGGTAGAAGTTAAAAAGGAGCGATATAAGATTGAAATATAACTTACAATTCTACCATCTCCACTTCCTAAATCTATAACCTTTCCTTTTCTTTTTTTAAGAAGTCTAATTACATTACTAACTTGTGTGTCCGTGGCAGGAACATAGGGGAGACAAATTCTTCGGAAAGCAGGCAAAACAAAAGGGAAACAACCAGCAATTAAACCCACAGCAACAGTTCCAAAAGTCCCTACAGCTATTAAACCAACCACATTTTTATGCTTACTATTGTTACTCATTTGTTTATGGTTTACTCTTCTATAAGAAAAAACGAATATTGTTTATTTATTAATATAGCACATTTGTATATTAAAAAGTAGGCTTCTTAATTGAACTATTCAACAGTTATTAACTTAACTAAATTCAAATTCGTCTGCTTTTTAAGGTAAGGACAAATCTCTTGTTTAATATAAAAGAAGCGTTTCTTGCTGCCTATTTCAGCACATTATTTCGCTTTTAACGAAACTGCAACCAATCCAAATTCAGGTTTAGATACGTTCCCAGCTACTGGCTTTTGATACTTCAACTTTAATTTTATGTACTACTGATAAAAATGTAAATAAAAGATTTGCCTCTTAATTCAATTTTGCTTTCAGTACAATTTCGAATGAAAGTATTTTAAATTGGCTAAAAAAGAAATAATTCAAATTTTTAATTTATTTAAATTAAGTATTTTAAAATCATAAATCCCAGTTTTCAAGTAGTCGCGGAAAATATTCGTTATGAAATGTACCAATTATTTACACCTTAACAATGAATAATACTATTAAGGATTTCAAAGATATGCCTTTATCCTTGCAGATTTGCGATAAATCTTATAAGACATCTCCCATATCAAAAGTGGAGTATTCTGTTCGTGATGAGTTCATTTTATCAAATTCAAAACCTGTATTATTTAAAAACTCTAGCAATAAAACAACTTTAAAATTTAAAGAAATTCACGCATGTAGTACTTGTGGGAAAGAATTTAAAAGAAAAGATCATTTGGTAAATCACGCTACCACCCATTTAAAAATCAAACCCTTCAAATGCCTAATATGCACTAAAAGTTTTTCAAGGAAAGACCATCTAAAAAACCATTGTATTCTTCATTTACCAAGTGGTTGGTCTTGTTACTTCTGTGGTAAAATGTTCCCGCAACGTTGTATCCTCCGTAGCCATGAAATGATCCATAGAGGAATAAAGCCTTATAAATGTGAATTGTGCGATAGCCAGTTTTCACGCAAGAATGATTTGGTCAGGCATACCACCTTGCATACAGCAGAAAAAATGTATTTGTGCGAAGTATGTAATAAAGGATTTACTCAGGATAGATTGCTTAAAAGACATTTAAAAATACATGGAAAAATTAATGTAGTGAAGTAAAATAAGTGCATGGGATGTACTGTGATAAAAATGTGCGACTTGTGAAATTTTTTCTTTTTTATCTCAAAGATTTGTTCATGTTTCTGAATATTTGAAGTGACTCATTAGTAAGCATGAGTTTTTAAAATTAAATTTTTATCCTATACATCAAATCATGCGTATGGGATAAAAAGTGTTATATCTTGAATATGATTAAAAATATATTTGTGAAATTTTTTTCTTATTTATTAAAGGTTTGTAATTTTATTTTGCTTGTGAAGATAGAAATTTAATTTAGTTGGAAAATAAATTAGTATTTTTTATAAATAGTTAAGTTTTCATCCTGTACATTAAATTATGTGAATGGTATAAAATATTATAATTTTACTTTGTTAAAAATGTTTTTGTTTTAATTATCGAAGATTGATACTTTCTTTTGTGAAAATGATTTTCATAGTTTTTCAAATGATAATTGAATAATATATTTCAAATGTTTTTTTTATTACTAAGTTGGGTCAACTTTTGTTTAACTTTATAATAAAGATTGAAAGAATCACTAAATAAACTTGTGTTTTGAGTTATTTTGTAATGTTTATGATAATTAAATGGTTAACATTATAGTAAAGTATTCCTCACTTTAAGTACTGAGTAAAATAGTTTTTAATGTAGATTAATGTTTCTTTGAATGAAATGTGTTTAAAAATTTGTAACTGGTATTATAATTTTTTCCTAGTTCCAACAATAATCTTCATGTCTACCTACAAAGAAATGGCCATGTATGCAAAAGGTTGTAAAATTCAATCTTTAAAATTAAAAAAATAATCCACATTGCTCACCACAATCACAATACATATTTCAATGATAAAACACAGATTTGGATTTTGTTAAAGATTACTATTATTTTACATTTATAATTATTTTCTATTCTAGAAAGGTATTATTAAAGGTAAAGGTACAACACTAGTAAAGAAGTTATTTTTAAAAAAAATTAAGTAATTTAAATTGTGATAAATAATGAAACACTCAGTTATTTGAGAAATAATAAGCAGAATAAGATTTTCAATCATATTCCTCCAAATGAAATATGAAAGATAATATATTCATTTGAATATGAAATAAAATAAAAAAAGTATAATTAAAATTTGATTTAAAAAAATTATGAAAAAAAAATGTAAATCATTAGATGAATGTGCATTTTGCTTTAAGTGAAAAAGATAAGGTTTTTGAAAAGATTACTTTTCTTTTCTTGCATTTCAAGGGTCTCATTGATCCACTCCTCTAAATATCCCAGCTTAACCATATTTAGAAAACCAAGATAGTAATAAAGTTAATAGTATAATATTTCTAAAGTATAACTAATTAATGTTCATGTTGAAATACACCATGAAGAATGGGATTATTCCAAAACTTGATCATTCAAATTTATGACAAGCTATGGCACTGACAAAATAATAATTAAAAAACATAGATTCCAATGCAATATGGTGACAAAAAAATAGCAATTCTAGATCTGTGTAATTTGATATCTATTTCATGATTAGTTTCTGTAGTTTTCGATTGAATTCATTTAAAAAAAATTTAAATTACTGAAATATTATGCCTAATTGAAATATAAATATTTATTTAATAAATTTTTAAAATTAGTTCAAATAATTATAAATGCTTTTCAAATAACTTCTATGAGATCAAAGTTTTTTTAAATTTTATTCATAAATTTTTTGTAAATCATTTCACATTAGCAATGATGTATTGTAAATATCAAGAAATTGGTTATTTACATTTGGTAGTAAATTTGTTTTTCAGCATTTCACCATTTCTTGCAAAAGAAATTTTTTACTTATTCTGGAAATTTTCCTTTATTAATGGTTCAAAAATTTTTATTTTACATTTAATATGCATTATTTTGTAGTAATCATAAATATGCTACTAAACAATTTGCTGACACAAAAATTTGGTTATTGCTGTGATCTGGAGACACAATTATTAAGTATAATCATTGTATTGCATTAACACCATAGACGTTTCTAAAGTTTGATATAAAGTAATCAATTTTCAACACAAGTTTATATGGTTTCCTGACCACTGCAAGAAGAATTTATCAGGAAATAAAATTTATTATCACATTTCCAGCTGAAGAGTTCAAATTATAGCTGCACCTTTATGCTCAACTATAACGTAAGCTATAATGCCATGAAAGATTGAAAGTAAGCCAGTTTCATTAGTATTAGAAAAGTTTAATAGAGCAATTCTTAGTTAAAGAAGTCATTTAGTAACAATGAATTCATTTTGTGTGAAGTGAATTAATATCTTACACCTGCTTTTAAAAATTACGTATTATAGACATTTATTTTCAATTACTTTTTCTACTACCGTATATCTCTATGTATAAATCGCTCAGTTATATGTGTAATAGGTCAACCCTCTTTTTTTGATTATGATATAGCGAATTTCTCATGTCTACAAGCTAATCGCTAAAAAAAAACAAAGTATCTAAACTTACTAAAAAAAATTATCCCAAGTTAAAAATACTGGGTAATTCAAAATGAATATAGCGATTACAAACAGCAATAATTGTTTAATGAAAAATAATTTATTGCTAAGATTAACATAGAATGTAGATGGAACTTCAAAATTTCTTTACGTAAGGTGAAGATAAATTATTTTTCATTAAATAATTATAGCCATTTGTAATCGGTATATTAATTTTGAATTACTCTGTATTTCACACCAAAAACACTGGAAATTTCTGCAATGCTTTTGTAGACATTATATGTCAACTGACGCTAAACATGTTGCAAAATGTGGTTTCAAATGTTATTGTCGAATCTTTTATGAAGAGTGAAATTTCGAATTCTTTAATTGGCAGTGAAGACTATTTTTTGTGGGGCAGCACAGATGAGGATGATGTCGAATCCACATGATGACTCTGCTAACGTTATGATGATGTTCATAACGTTAGCAGATAACACAGATGATGTTCTGGAATCTTTAAATTTAACAGTTCTATGGTATATTTTAAAAATTTTCATTGTTATACATATTTAAATACTCTTGAATAAATTATCTTAACTTTTCCTATTCTTAATTTATCTTTCTGAACATAATTCAAAGTATTGTTTCTAAAAAACGCTTAATATGTAAAAAAAATTTGATGAGGGAATAATGCAAAATTAATTGAATATAACATATTAAAAATAGTTTTTGAAAGAGGTACATCGACTCAAGAATTATTCAAATTTATCTAATTTTTTTATAATGCATCAATATTACATGTCTACTTTTATTAACTGTGTATAAGTCGATCCTCTGATATTCGTAAAATTTTAGGGGTGTAAAAAATAGACTTATATGTTATTCAAATTCACATAGATTTCCAGTATTACTCTGCTAGAGTGTCAAACAATATCAAAAAGAACATTAGGTGTTTCAATTTATTAATTGAGAAAACAATAGTATGTAGTAGATATTTTGAAACTAGCCAAAAGTCTGAAGAACCCATAAGCTTCACCAATCGGCATTTGGTAAAGACCCTGACACAGTTTTATTTTTAAAATTATAACATAATAATATCATACAAAATAAAAATATAAACACATTAACTGATATACATACTGAATTGAACATTTTCATTGTAATTAATGAAACGAAATTCATCTTAAAATAAATGGCGTAGCTCCTGTAACTAGATAGTTCCAAAATAAAAAAATTTGTGTCGAAATTGTAATTATTATAGCATGTCGGGTATGATGAGTTAAAAAGGAATTTCATTCAAATTTTTCAGTTTCTAATTCTTCCTTTATTTTAATACAATGCATGCTAATAAAGTCAGATTGGCGTCCAGTTGGGAAATCCCGAAGTTTTGAGATGCTTGATATAAAGAACAAAATGTAAATCAACTTTAGATTGAGACAAAAACAAGAAGTAGAAATATAGTATGACATTTTTTTATTGTAAAAGACCCAATTTTTTTTAAATGAAAGCAAATATTTGTGTTACTTACTATGAATAAGTTAAAATTAACAACTTACATCACTAATACATTTCATTATAATGTTATGTGAAACTGAAAGTGTTGATTATAATCCTTTTACAGAGTAAGATGAAGATAATATACAACTGATAACTATACAGATGGCAATATTTGAAACAATAACAATATAACAAATTCAATAATAATTAAATATGAGATAATCAAATGTGAAACTATATGTATACATATTGGGATCAAGAAATCCTTGGCATCAAAACACCTAAAAATCATAGTTGGTGCCTAATATTTTAGAGAAATGAAAGCAAAAAATTTTTTATGGTACTTTATGATCCAAAATATACAGGCTCTTAAAATTTTTTTTTTGTAGACTCTTAAATGTACGTAAATCATTTGAAATGAATGAATTATATAAAGCAGAAAACAAAATTAATATTGAAACAAATTTTAAAACCAACAGTTAAAAAAAAAGAAAAGAATTTTGCATGAAATGAAGCTCGTTTTGATAAACACAAAGTCGAAAATGTGAATTATAAAAATCACTATTATTGTAAATTTAAAAAATAAAATGATGTTACCAGTTTTTCAGTTATTTCTAAACAAAGTTATATATACATAATTGAATGGGAATATAATACAATGAAATAAAATCTTTTTCTGCTTAAGTCTCTAAGAAGTCCTATACAAGCCTATATCTTAAGTTTTTTTGATTGCATAAAACATTTCAAGAGGTTTGTTGACCTTCCAGAATTTTTCATTGACTTGATCAAGTGTAACATTCCCATCCAGGAGAGAGAACTGCCCTGGAGTTACAGCAATATAGATGGCAAAAGGTGAAATTTCTGTAGGTGCTTCAGAGCCTAGTTCATCTTGCTTATCCAAAGCAAATCTCATAGCTAAGTACTTGGACAAGTGATCCACTAGAAAAAGTAAAATATTTTAGGATTTAAAAAAAGTGTTTAGTACATAAAGTATTTAATGTAAATTTAACGAAAATATTCAGGATTGTACTGTACATATACAGGGATCTGTCCAGGTAAAATTTACTACCGCTTAGCGGTACCTTCACAAATTCAATTTTAGGAAAAAATGTAGTTTTACTAAATATTTTTTTAAAAATTTTATGTTTGTGCTGATTTTTTAATATTCATAAATTATGTCTAAAGTTTCACAAAATAGATACTTCTCAGAAAAACCTAGACAGACCACTGATATACTTAAGTCCAAAAGACAGCATGGGAGTTTTAGTGAGACTTTCATTGGGGGAGCAGAGCATACCCTATATATTTAAAATAAATATTAAACCTTCCACAGATGAGTGATTAAAGTCCACAGAGACCGGATCACTCTATTGGTTGAAAATGACTTCAGTAAGTGAGAGAAGGGAGATGGTATGTATTGGATGGCGTTTATATCTACAGATTTCGTTATGTGTGCTCTGGTTTTATTTCATTCTTGTAAATGTCTATGTAATATCAGTATTAAATTTTATTTTCATGACTTTAACTATAATAGAAATTATCTCGAAATTTTGGAAATTCTAAATACAGCGAAACCTCCAGGAAAGACCACCTCTATTTATGACCACTTTTGAGAGATCTCTCGCAGCCTCTTAAACCTCTCCCAGCAATCGTGCAAACATCTGCACCAAATGCAAAAAAGGTCAAATAAAGAAACATGAGAAAAATATCAAAACAAAAAATATTAACAAAACAAATAAGTAGATTAAAATGTATTCAAAATATTTTTCTGAGGATCTTATTTAGGAAGCTCTTCTTGACGATACCACCTTTTGTTGAAGTCAGAGTGCACTAAAGACGATGCTAGCAATGATTTACTTAAGAGTTGAAAGTTAAATTGAATTTGATTTTAAACATAATTATATATGTTGGGATCATATTTATAGATGCTAAAATTTATTCATCAATCCGTCTTTTCATGACGCCAACAGAAGTGGCATTTCACCCCAAGAAACGACACTGACTAAAAATAAAATTACTTGAGAAAAATCATGTACCTTCGATAACTATTTCGAAATCAATGGAGGTAACATGTAAGAACCACCAACGAGCATTTTTCTGTGGAATGGAGAGTGGTCACTTCTGAGAGGTTTCACTTTAATACTCTTATTTTGCACAATTTTAATAATTAAAAGAAATACTTATTTAGTTGTCTATATATTCTGAACATTTGTAACAGATACAAAACAAATTACTGTCTATTTATATTAATTACCTACTAGGTCTTATAAAAACTTAACCTCAGTAGCATCGTTACTTTTTTTCCTGCTATCAGAGCCATTTTAAAATTCAACAAATTGCTTTATTGCCTATTGAACAGCTTTTCTTTTATTTAAATAAGAAACTTTTTGAACAGAGAAATCAAAAGCTACTTTGTTTAGACGTAAAATTTCCAGCAATTTCTCAAATCCTGTCAACGCCAGCCAATACATACCATCTCATTTCACAAGTAGTGATATCATTTTTGCCCAATAGCGTAATCCAGCTATACTGAAATTTAATCACTCACTTCCACAGATGCTACAACATTTTTCGACTGTCACGGCGTGATGAGGATCCCAATTAACTCGTGATCTAGAGTTTGCGACGTTACCTTTTGGTTGTTTTTGCCCTACTTTAAATTGATGCATTTTCATAAAAAAATGAAACTTGATTTGGTTTAATATTTTTTTAGTTGTTTTCAAAATTATTCCTTAACTTTTGAACCTGAGCATTTATACACATTTTGATTATGTAGTTCTGTGAATGCTTTTACCAATGAAACAATATGCTTGAATATGGAGTCAGAGTAGACAAGAAATTTACTAAACTAAAATAGGTCAAAAAATAGATAATATAGGCTAAAAAGAGAAAAGTTTCATCTAATAAAAATGGATATGAACAAAAACATTACAAGAATTACTAGATGAATATTACTAAGCAACTTACTATAAACTTAATTTATTATAAAAGGAACTTTTTCAGCCTATGCAAATATGACAGAGAGATATTGATATTTAGAACATTGCTTATAATGGTAATTTTAATATTCTGTACGAGTATAAATTGGATTTCAAGTTGAGTTACTAATTACATTGAATTATTATGAACCCCCGTGGGAGAATTTTTTCCAGCTATCTGCGACAAAACACTCTAGCACTAATATCTTTCTGCAAGATACTCTTAATAATACAAAAATATATGTTACTAATTCAAAATAGAAAAAGCGTTGCGTTTAGAAAAAAAAAATTACATAATTTTCTTTTTAAATAAAACATGTAAATTTTTTTTTTTTCTGTTATGAGTGATATTCTTGCATTTTGTGTGTGTGTGTGGGGGGGGGATTCACATAAATTATTTCCTTCTTCGCATTTTGTAAATAATTATCACAATACAAAATATAATTAAAAATCATGAAATTCGTAGTAGTAATAGCCGAAAAAAAGATTGACAAGACTACGCCAATCGGGCTTCTCAAATGCGTGTTTAGTTTCGAGATTAAGTTGTAGTAATAAAAATTATATTGCATAAAAAGCATCGGATTTAAAAAACTATGGAGAAATCAATAACAATAACTGCCAAAAACTCGATAGAATTATTGCCTTAAAAAGCAAATACTTAAGTGCACGATTTGAATTTTCCATATTGTATGAAATATATTGGGATATTTAAAATCCACATGAAATCAATATCAATAACTGCTGAAAATACAATTAAATGAAACATTACATCGATTTACAATATTGTCGTAAATTGAGACGTCAGAAAGTGATTATATAAATGCATGATTCAAATATTACGTGTAAATTTCTGTAGAAAAGAAAAGTAATTTTTTTCAAGAGAAAAATCTCTCTGCAAGAACTGTGTAACGTTCTGCGACAATGTCGCCGTGATTCTGCCACGGGGTTATGAACTTACTAAAGTTCATAGTAAAACACTGACTCCACAGTTCAGCTTAATATTAAAATACATAAATACTCAACTCGGAAAAATACCCAGCCCAGAATTAGATTAATACAAAGATAAATAAATATGACAGTGATAACTCATACCAGTTGCATTTGCAGTGGTTTTTATGTAACGGACTTGGGCATAGGTAGGCTCACTGTCATCTTGAGGGTATGGTTTGAAAACAAGCTCTATTTCATTTACAGTAGAGGTACTATCTGAAGTACTTTCCACTTCAGCATCTTGATTAGTACCTTCAGTGCTCTCTTCAGCAAGATCATTATCATTGTCCTGATCTACACCTGATCCTATTGATTCATTTTCTGAAAGTGTCTTTAACCTTTTGCGAGCAGGCTGTGAGGAATTGGCATCACTAGAACTTCCAGGAGTAGGGGTTTGTCGAGGCGTTGGAACAGGAGTCATTGTGCTAGGAGGCGCACTCATACTATTACTATTTTCATTAACAGGTGGAGGAATTATACTATCGTTAACAGTTGGAGTAGCGATTGCAGTTGGTGGATTACTGTTATTATTTGTATCATTCGGTTCCTCAGGAGCGTTTTTCCTCACACGTTGTGCTCTATTGAGTGCTTGTATCCTCATACCTTCTTCAATACTGTGTGCTAAGGCATGATTGTGCTTTTTATTTAAGGATGCTAACACTCTTTCTTGCAAAGCTTCATATTCATCTCGGCTGGGATATATCTTTGATATTAGCATGTCAAAATTAGGATCTGGACGAAGTGATCGTTTGGAAATTAGTTTTTTCCGACAAGTTGGACATTCTTTGTTTCCACTTCTTAATGCTGTAATAATGCATTCTTGACAAAAGCGATGCAAACATTCTTTGGTTGTCATTGTATTTTTTAACATATCCAAACAAATTGGGCACATCAGTTCGCTGTGCAAACTTCTTGGCGACACTGCGATTTCCGTAGCATCTGTAATCACTTCTTGTGGAGTTCTGTGTAATTCGTACAAACTTAGTTCCCATGTTTTGTTGGATGTTTGTGTGTCGGAACAAGACATTATGTTCAAAGTATAAAAGTTTTTATAGTAGATTCCAGAACTACAACAACAGCCAAAGCCATTCAACAGATCGATTGCTTCACTTCCTTTCAGACATTTTCCAATTTAGAGTAGTCTTCGCTATTTTAAATATATTTCCATTGAATACTTTTTAAATTTTTAGTTGATGCTTTTAATAAACTTTGATTAAATAATGGAAATGTATTATGTATTATATTTATAAAATTTGAATTTCTCGATTGCAAAGTAGTAAGTAACCGGAAGCGTTTCTTTCCTCCGTTGCCGTGGAAACGAAAACAATGATCCAAAATCACTCTGGTTTATTACCGTGACAAAACTACCTCTTTTAATAATTTGTTCGTGAATGATGGAGACGTTTAAGTTTTTATACGAACAAGCTTCTCTTGCATTGAATGTCATTCCATCTGAAAGTATTATTTCAAGAATCGAAGAGTAATTGTTTTATTTAAGGTTTCATTAAAAACTTACATCCCCATAACAAAGAAATTTAACAACTTTTTTCTGTTCTTTTATTTCTCTCTTGATTAAGCATTAGCTAACATCATAGATAAGTTACATCAGAAAACTGTTTTTTTATGCATAAATTGGGCGAAATTTGTTGCTTATAGCTGATTTAAAATTTTATTAATACGTTTCCGTTTTAATTGTTTACATTCAAAGTTGTAGGAATTTATATTAGTGTTATGTTATTTAAATTATCATTTAATGAAAGTCAAAATATTTTTTATGAGTCTCATTTTCAAAAAAAGTTGTGCATAACTGCAGTTTTCCTCACTTAATTGCATATCAGATAACCTGTTTATATGTATAAAATTTAGTAGAACTGAATTATTTTATATGAAAACGTTAAATTTTCTTATTTAAGCAATAATTTTTGGTTGCTAGTCCTTATTTAATTGCATAAGGAAGAGAAAATAAAGTACTTTTATAAAATGTTTCACCAGCTAAAGTGAAATTTTCGTTTTTCAGTTAAGCAGATGAGAATACAATATGTGGTCACTTCATCAGGGATTTCCTAACTATTTCTGACCCCAAAGAAGCGTTTGAGGGTCAAATCTTGTTAGCCTCTTTAGTAGAGCTGAGAAATGTTAATTCAATGTGGTTCCAAACAATCTTAAATAGATTTTTTTGCAAGGAATTAATCAGTATTTTAGTCAGAAATAATTTGTATTTTAGTACATACTATTTTTATAAGCATTGAACTCTTTTTATGTAAATTTAAATGTCATTTTTATTTTTTGATACTAACACTACCAGCTCTAACTATAATTGTTTGTTGATTATTATATAGGCTTTATTCCCTCAAAACATTATACTACGTGATATATACCATTTTAAATTAAAATTTTGTAAAAACAAATATTATTCAAGATTGAATAATACACTACTCTTATAATTAAATAATCCACTCATTTAAATACAGTTGGCTGGAACCATTGGTATTTCTTTAAGTGGGACTGACTGTATATACATCTAATATTTTAAGTAATGTATATTTCATTAACATGAATTTGTTTGACATTTTCATTTAAATATTTAAAAATTAGAATAAGGATTAATTTTTAAGGGATCTAAAATCAAGTATTCTCAAGTTATCTGGAGGTCAGTATACTGAAGATTGTTGGAGAGCTTTAGGATGTGCTTTGGCTAAAGATGTGCACTTACTAGAATTAGACTGCAGTAATTGTTTATTATCAGATCAAGGTATATGCACTAATATCCATAATTTTCATGCATTTCTGGAAACTTTTTTTTGTATAGTTTTGTAATAACTTGTTTACAATTAACAATCTTGGTACAATATTTTAAGTGATATTTAGTGTCTAATCAACAGTGTTGTGGTTGGGTAATATATATTTTTTGTAATAATGACAGATTAATTAATTACTTTTGTAATTCTATAAACTATATTTGTTAATTACTTTTCCCCATGTTAATTGATTACTTTTTAATTAATCACTAATTAATATTGGTAATATTATTTTGGTACAATGTCATTTTCTGCATAAAACAAACATACATTTAAATAATAAAGCAACTTAATCTTTAAAATGTACAAATTGTATTTTATGTTTAGCTATTTTATACAAACTGTGTGAATTTTTAGCTATGAATATAATAGGGTGACCTGGGGTAATTCACAATCACTCTGTTTCTGGGGTAAATAATGATCACCTAAGTTTTATTTAAAAAAATNACTATATTTGTTAATTACTTTTCCCCATGTTAATTGATTACTTTTTAATTAATCACTAATTAATATTGGTAATATTATTTTGGTACAATTTCATTTTCTGCATAAAACAAACATACATTTAAATAATAAAGCAACTTAATCTTTAAAATTTACAATGTGCGTTTTATGTTTAGCTATTTTATACAAACTGTGTGAATTTTTAAATGTGAATATAATAACTAATTAATCAATACAACCAAAATATTAACTTAATATATTGATAAACAGATATGTATAATATGCATGAACTGGCGAATGTTATTCGTGGAAAATTAGTCACCATTGAGCAAAGCCATTACAAACAAGAACCAGTCAAAATTCTACTATTTTAAACAGTCTATATTTTTAAACATCGCAGAAAGTTTTCTAGAATTACTCGGAAAAAAAAGAGAGAGGAGGAAAGAAACAATCAAATTTTTCCAATTTTAACCGACGGATCCATCTTGCAGAGATTGATATGAGAATTTCTTTTTCTGCTTCGCACTTAGATCTCGATTACATTAATGCATTATATTTATCACATGCTGATATTTATAGTCATTAATATAGATTTTTTAAAAATTGAAACATTTTTTAAATGATCAGTGATTTTTAAACAAAATGCCCCAAAATTGGGGATAACAAAAGGGTTGAAATTAGTTGAGTTAGTTATAATCGTTTGCAGAAAGTTTTTGAGATTTGGTGTCTGCGGAAAGTTTTTCATTTTATCTAAGTCCATTGATAAAAATCAATCAGTTATCTGTTTGTTAACTATACTGGATGCTTTAACAAGAGATGTATTATTAGTTTTATTATAAATGCATTAAAGTAGTTAAATTTAAAATTTTGTAGTTTTTTTGACATGTTTTAAATACATTAATTTGCTTATTATTTTTTATGATTTATTTATTAATAGATTATTTTTTAGGCTTAATAGATGTTTTATCAGGTCTTGAAAAAAATAGGTTTTTGCTTACCCTTAACTTGAAAGTGAGTATTTTTTAATCCAGTTTCTGAAAGTTTAATTCAATTTTTATTTAGTTTCTAAAATATTTGTTGTTTAACACACATTTGCAAAAAATTTTGTTGTTTTCAGGGGAATAATATTAGAAGCTTAGGGACTGAAGCTATTGGAAAATTTTTACGTCATAATAATCATCTACAAAAGTAAAGTATTTCATGTTAATATTTGTTTGTTTTTATGATGTAATTTGTGATGTTTTTAAATTGAAAATACATTTATTGAAAAAAAGTGATCGCAAAATTTTTTCCAAATTTTTTTTGTTGTTCTTACATTTTCAAATTTTTTCCAAATTTTTGTTGTTGTTCTTACATAGTTAATTTTTTTTTACATGATTTTTAGTGTTTAGCTTTATACTTATTGAAATAAAAGGTGTGTCTTGCATTTTTGATTAATCTAATGTAATAATTGATGTGAATACTTATGGATGCTTTTAAAATATTTTGATGAAAATGTTAACTTTTATAAACGTTAATTATAATTTTATTGAAGAATTGATGGTTATGAAACATATAAGCTTAAATTAAGATAAAAATCTTTAATATAATTTTTTTTCTTTAACGTGTAAAAACTGAAACATTTAATTAGTGTCAGTTATAGCAAGTTTTGATAATTATATTATAAATAAACTACTTGATAAATTAAAAAATATTATATGAAAAATCTGTAAAATATGCAAATAAAAAATTTATAAATTCAGAAAACTATGAATCAATGCATCAATTTTAAAACATATGTATCATTAGATGCTTTGCAGTTTTTATTTATTTAAAAAAAAAATTATTATATTAAGAGTTAGGATACAAAAGTAAGTTAATTATGCAACATGCCACTGTTGCAATTTGCACTGTTGAATGAGTTGTATTAAGGAAATAGTTTACACTTTGGCAAATGTATCCCACTCTGGAATGGACTTTCAGCAAATTTGTGCTAAGTCTCACGAAAAATCCTCCTCACTCCCATGCAAAGAATTCAAAATTCTTAATTTTTTAAAAATATTTTGTAGTAACATTTGAATCTACATTTCGTCACAGGTCTAGTATGATTTGACTCATGATATCTATAGGAATAATAATTGATTTATCGACAAACTTCGACTTACGCACCAGATTTTTGCTATCTCATAATCAAATATAAGGGGTTGATTTATACATTGAGATATACAGTATTTTATTTACTGTTCATAGATTTGAACTTAACTTATATTAATATAGTAATTTATTTCTCATTTTAGTTTGTGTTTAGAGTGGAATGGAGTGGGAATTTTTCCTGAAAAATTTGCTATTTTATGTGAAGGTTTAATTTGCAATAAAGCCTTAAAGGTAATTTTTTTTTCAATATTTTTTTAAAATTAAAATGTGTATGTGTTATCGTCAATCTATAAATTACAGTAGTGAGATATTAGAGTTACTAGAATTGACCAACAAAGTATGGAATGGTTTATATTTTACACATAGATTAAGTTTTCGATAAAATGACTAAAGAAATACCTACAGACATTTTACACACTGACTAGGCAAAGTACATAATATTTCTCATATGTGATGCCAGAATTTGGCATTACATATTTATTTCCTATCTTTTTAAAATATCCTTCATTACTTAACCTTATTTTTATTAATGGAAGAATTACTTTTAAAATAAATCAAAAACTTAATCTTTTTAAACGAACATAAAATATTTATTTCTTCTCTTCCAGATCAATGTAACGGATACTTTCTTTTTATTTCATTATTATGCAGACATATTAATTCACTGACGCCTCTAATCAAAAACAAAATTCTATTTATAACTTTTTATTCTAATTTTCCAACGGCTAAAATGTTTCGGTTGCATGGTTATAAGAATTCACATAAATTTGTTGGCGACTCGTGATCGCCAAGGTGTTCTTTTAAACCCATGTGGATATGCTAGTTGGCTTTGTTTTTGGCTATGATATATTATGATAAATCGCCAAATTTTGGATCTCCTACCCATACTCTTTCTCTGTCCGTTGAGAATAAATATATTCACTTTTAATTTCTAAATTGGTGAGGCTGGGACCCCTTTTGGGGGCCTCCCAGTCTCGATTTTCTAACGGTCAGAAATGTTGTTCTGGCTTTATGATCTCTCAATAGAGAGTATTATTATTTCATCCCTTTAAGGGATTTCTTATTTAGGATGAAAATGTGGCCACTCGAAATCTTAAATTATACTTAATAAAATCTAAATATACATTCAACAATTTGTACATTATTTCCTGGAAACGTTATTGTTTTATTCATTCAATATTGGCCTAAATGAACACTCATATATACCACTATCAACTATACGGCTAATGACGGGGAAGCAAAGTCTTCCCTCACATCATATTTTAAATTTTGCCCTAAAAAAGGCAAGTATGCTATATAATCATGTGACATTCTATAGAATGCTGGCATATCATATATTTACAGAATCATATACATTTATTACAAAATACTGCCGGTGTGTTGGCCGAGTAGTCAGTGTGCCTGACTGAGGAGCTAATGGTTGCAGGTTCAAATCCTGCTCAGGGAAGGAACGTTTCCCTCTGTTGTATGATGTTTCATTGGGACTCACCATATGTCGGAGTATCTGTGGCAGTACGGCGGGAGTAATGTTGCTCAGCTCTGTGAGGTTCACAGGTGCCCACCGAGTAACCTGAAATGCGCAACACTTCCGTCATCTTCAGAAGCAAACAACGAGACTTCAGTGCCCGACATTTAAAAAGAAAATTACAAGATATTATTTCACTTTTTATTTGCATTTTTTAATTTAATTTATTGTAGAAATCTTCTCTATCTGATAAATATCTGATAGAAAGTACTCATCTTAGAATAATAAACTTCTTACTTTTCGGAAGCTAAATATTTTGTTTAATATCATGAAAGTCATTATATCACAGATTTTCTTTTCTGCATTTATAAATTTTTGCATAATATACTTTTTTTTGTTGACCAATAATGCAAGTATAATAGCGCATAGTGTTTCAGCTAGAGGGTTATAATTTAATAATGCTAGAATTAATCTATTTATTGTTAAATTTTTCTTTGCTATTTTGTTATTTATATAGAATAGAAAATTTAAATAGCTGTTCTAGTTATTTTTTAAACTGTTAGCCTTTTAATGTATTAAAATGCTTTTAATTTTATGAACAAGTGATGACGATTTATAACTTCATGTGTGTTTTTTTCACCTCTGTTATGCTCTAATCTCTGGTTTTTATTCCTCAATCAATTTGTTTTTGTTAAAGTGAAGTGTTAAATTAATTAGGTGTTGTGTGAAATGACAAATTTTTAAGCTTTAAGGACAAATTTTTTAAGCTCCAACCTACAATTTTTTATATTTAAGAATATGGATATTTATTTAGATATGTAATGTGACCATGTTCAACATGGATTGCCTAGACAGTCAGTTATGTAATGCCATGTATAACAGATGTTTTATCTATAGTTGCACTTGCTATCTTTGGGTGACTTCTTCAGTGAGTTATTAATGTACTATGTCTATGATTTTATTGTTTGGTGACCCCTTCAATTAGTTATAAACATATTATGAATGTTGATGTTGTTTTAAATAATTCCTTTAATTAGTTACAAATTTGTCCTTTTTGGGAGATCCCTTCAATTAGTTGCAAATGTACTGTTACTGGGATGTAGTTGACCGGTTTGGCAACATAGGAATTTTGCAAAATGTGCGACATATTTTATTAGGCTATTAGTTAGAAAGGGTTAAAGCAAACTTAATTTGAAATATTGTTTTAAAAGTTTAGGTTACAGTGGAATAATTATGGAGTTTTAATTTTAATTCATTATGATTATGATTTTATTGATTTGGAATGCCTTTTATCTATTTTCCTTCTTATTTTTCTCACTTATATTGTAAATACTTATTATTTGTTTAAATTTCTTTAAATTAATTTTTATCTTAAATATATTTTTAAAGTTATTTTTAGTATTTAGTGCAGCTCTTATTTTTTTCTTATGTAGATTTAGTTAATTTCTTTTCTTTATTTTCTTTAAATTTTGCTTAGTTTCTTGATTTACGGGAAAATCAATTGAATGATATCTGTGCAAAGACTTTGTCTGATGTGTTAGTTTCAAAATCAACCCTTCAAAAGCTAGGTATGTTGAAGTGTTTTTCTTTAAACCCTTTTTCTATGTTGTGATAATAATAATAATTATTTTTGTAATCAAAAATATAATTCATAAAGTTAAAAATTTCAAATATACTGAACACATATACTGCTATATATATACTGACACATATCTACACATAACCTGAAAAACCCTTTACGCTTGATCTTCTTTATATCATGCATCATTTTAGTTTTAAACTCATTTTCCTTAGAGTTAATCTAATTGTTAAAGCGTGAGTTAAAAGTTTGTGTCATTCTTTCAACTATTTCACCCATAACAGTAATTTTTTTAAAACTGATAAGCTATTGTGTGAATATTTATGAACCATAAATTATTTAAATATATTTTGAGCATTTAGTAATGCAGTGTCAGTAATTGTTATGTGTTTGTTATTTTTAAATATCATTTTTATATATTTTAAGAATGCAAAACTTTTTCTTGGACTTCGTTCATAAATTAATATCATTAATGTTAGTATAAATTTTGAGTATGTTAAAAAATGTCTTTGGTTGTTAGATGTCTATAGGCCTCTTACAAAAAGTAAGATCAACCTTTTCAGCATGAGGTTTGGTCGGGATAAACTATTAAAAGTCAGAAAAGTGAAAAAAACAAACAGAAAAGCTGCACATGTTTGGTGGTTTGAAAATTTAAAATGAATTTATTTAAATTAATTTATAAAATTTCTTTTGCTCGTATTCTTAACTGGATAAGTTTACTTCCATTTTTAAATTGGTGAATTGTTCATGTACTTTTTAATTTTCGAATATCCTACATGAGTTTTATTGGCTGTATTGCATTTCAGAGTTTTTTTACATGTTTTCATAATCCTTAAAAATTTCTTACTATATGAAATTTTTTTTTAATTTTTATGCCCTTAACAAAATCTTAAAATGTGCTAATTTTTTTCTATTCTTATAGTTCATATTCTTATTGTTTTTTTATTTTTAGCCTTGTTGTTATTTATTGTTATAAAAATAAGAAATAAAATTGACATTATGACGTAGAGAAACTTTATAAAAATTAATCACTTCTAGGTACGGTACTATTGTTTCTGAACCTAGAAAATTATAGATTGGTAGTTTAATTTAGTTTAATGGTATGCTTTTAATTAAATGTTATTTAGTATTTTTGTATTATTCTATATCATTCTTTTATTTTATTAGTTTTTTAACTTGCTGCTCTTATACTTCTTAATAAAAAAATAAATAAATGATTTACTTATCAGATTTGCGATGGAATAACATTGGTTTAATTGGTGGTCGCGCTCTTCTGAGTGCTTTGTCAAGAAACAAGAGCATTCTTTCTTTAGAAGTAAATGGAAATAATCTGACTAAAGACCTTCAAAACTCCATAGGTAATTACCAATTTTGGATTTTGCTATCATATTTCAATTTTACTCATTATTTGCAGACATTAAAAATTTATTATAATGAGTCATTGTTTTTTTATATTTAAATATATTACCTTTTAACAATTTTATAAAAATAATAAAAGCTAAGGTAATATTTTCATTTTCTTTTGCATTTAAAATTAATTGTATAATTTTAAAAAAAGGCACTGTGTGTTGCATGATTTAGGGTTTGAAACTCTTATTTTCATTGTTAACAACCTATAAACAATGGCATTGTGTATTAAGAAGTTGATTTGTAGCCAAATTCTTGCTATTTTCTTTCCTTTTTTTGTTTTAAAAATTTATGTTTATTTAATGTATATTTATCTAATGATATTTCCAAAGAACAAGCTAACTGAAAATTTTTTTTTTATTTGTTTACCAAAACTGTTTTTTTTATTTGGTTTAGTTTTTATTTATTTTATGTTTCTATTGACAAGAAGTCTATTCACAATCAAAACTCTTGATGATTAAATTACTTTTGTTGAATGTATTTTCACTTGGCCATGGGTAGCCCTTTTAATTCTTTATATAAATTAATGTTTTGTAGTGAACCGAAATCATACTTTGAGGATCTATGGTAAAAGAATATTCATGAAAAACTTGTTGTTTCCCATTTCCGTTTTTTTTCCTCCAGTTTTTTTCCGTTGTTTCTCGGTTCCGTGTGAAATAATTCTCCAATGTCTCTAACTGCTAAATGACATACTATTTTTGTTCAAGAGTAGATTCATTTTTTATTAATGTTATGCAATTTCTCCGAAGTATGTGATTTTAATCTTTGACTTTTGCATAACATAATTATTTATAATGTCTATCTTTCTTTTTTTTTTAAGAACCTCTATGATGAAAAAAATTGTTAAGTTTTGTTCTATGTTGTTTTGATTTAATAACATTACATTTATTTTAAAAGTTAAATAGAAAACAACGCTGAATTAAAGTCAAAGCCATTTCCTGTTATTGGTTTTTTTTTAAAAAAGAAATTAAAAGAGAATATTCGAAGCTAAATTTGTTATACAAATTATTTATTGCTTTTAGTTTAATAGTATTTATGTTAAAAAAAGACAGAATTGCTTCATTCGCTCTTTTCTTTATTTAGAAACAATTGTTTTAGCATCTGTTGATAGGTTCTTGTTAACCACTGAACAAACTGAAAGAACAAATTCTTTGACTTCTAAATTGAAGGAGGTTCAAGAAGAAAAGTTTCTGCAAGTATGTTGATAAAATTTGATTTGGGAATTTATTATAATGTAACAACAATTTATTATAATGTATGTTGGACAAGTTTGTATAGAAATTCCTGTTAAATGCTCAAAATTTTTATTGAATAATAAGGGGATAAATTTTTTGTTTTGCTGGAAAAACAAAACGTGAAAGAATGTCTTAAGATATCATAAATGGCCAATCCGGTAAAATAATTTTGAAACTTGTAATATTTCTTGAAATAAAAACTTTGACTATTTTTGAGAAAAGTACCTTGCTTCATACTAAACTATTTTATTATTGAGGGGGAAATTGTTTGTCTAGTTGGAAAAACAATCGTAAAAATAATGTCTTTAAATTTCATAAATGCTTATTCTGCCAGAAAAAATCTGTAAATAGTGATAGTTATTGAAATAGAAAGTTTATTTATTTAATTGTTTATCTTTATTTAAAAGCATAATATAATTTTTAATGATCAAGCTTTTAAAGAAATTACATAATGAAGAAGCATCTATGGAAATAAACAATTAGCTTAAACTTAATTGCAACTTGATTAAAAAAATTTTTTTTATCATTTCTTTTTCTTTTTTATCATTTTTTTTCCTATTTAACATTTCTTTTTATTTCCTTTTTAAACTCTTTCTTTTTTTTACTTTGCAATAACAGTAACGTAATTGCATTAGCAGTTGTTAAAAGCATAATATAATTTTTAATTTTTGACTCTTAAAAAAATTACAAAATGAAGAAGCATCTATGAAAATAAACAATTAGCTTAAACTTAGTTGCAATTTGATTTAACTTCTTTTTATCATATATTCTCATATCATATCATATTTATCATATATTCTTTTTTATCATTCTTTTTTCCTATTTAACATTTCTTTTTATTTTCTTATTAAACTCTTTCTATTTTTTTGCTTTGCAATAACAGTAACGTAATTGCATTAGCAATAAAAGAAAAAGAAAAACTTATTACTTTTCCCTTCCATTGCTGGGAAACCTTTCTTTAGAATGCATTTTTAAAGTGAAGCTTTTTATATGAAAATAAAATTGTTTAGAGTTTGTGGGAGTTATTATTAATTTGCTCTTGCCAATTCATCTATGGTCTTATGACTTTTATTATTAAAAAAAATTAATAGCCCTGGCACTACTTTTCACAAAGCATGCTTTTTTAATGTAATTGATTTATTGTATTTTAAAATCATATTTATTAACCAATTGAATATTACCCTTATTCAAAATTAATGTTTTAACTTTTCACCCATTGTTCTAGTAAATATAGAGCTAAATCATTTTTTCTCGTTATTGAATGTTTGAATTCTAACCTATGTAACCTTCATTTAAACTTCATTAAGAGGGAAAGATGATTTGTTTATATTACTTTTGCTTAAAGCTAACAACTTGGAAACTCTTCTTAAATGTCATAAAGAAGAGTTTCCAAGTTGGCATCTATGCATAAACGTAAATTACTTTTTTTCAATATTGGTGAGGTATATATTGTTTAGGTTTAATACTTTTGCTTAATATACCATGAAATCTTTTTTTATCCAGATTATTTTTTGCCCTTAACTTTCTTGGTGAAATTGGTTGCATGCCCACCATAAAAAGAATATAACATGCTGTTATTATTACATACCCCATTTTTTCCTGTTTTGGAAAGTTTTTAAAAAATTGTTCTTTCTTATAATAATAAATTATTAATAGACTCAGTAAAAATTATTACAAAAGTTAATTTCTTCTAATGAAAAAATTTCAGAAGTTTTTTTCTTCTTCCTTATAATAAATATAGCACTATGAATATATATTTTTTCTTATAGTTAAATAATCAAAGAATTTTTTCAAAAATTTAGTTGCGATCAATGATGGAAGTATTGGACAAGAAAGAAAAAGAGTCCAGTGACAATGAAAAGTAAAATATTTTTCTGAATTATGAACTGTTTGAAAATTATTTCTTAGATAAATTGAATTCAGGTCCCTGAAAGACTTTCAGTTTTGGATATTGTTTACAATAAACAGACATGAAATTTTTCTAATCTAACAGAATTTCCGACTTCCTAAACTTTGTTATATAATTAAACTAAGTTTAACTCTTTAATCATGATTATTTTATTCTTTTTATCACCCGATTGCCAATGGCGACTAATAAAATTTGAGTGGCTACTATATTTTTAGCTTTTCAATTATGATTTGAAATTTTTTTGCAATTCAATAATTATGTAAAAAAATCGATCTGAGAACTGAACATGATTGTTTTTAACAATTACAAGAGAAAGTTCCTATTTTTATTTATCTTCTCACTGTTGTGTATTACTCAAATTTCTGATTCCTAGTTTTGTAATAATATTATATTAAAAAATAGGAAGTTAAGAAATTGTATATAAATCTATAAGAATAACTGCAAAATTACAATCAAACACGATAAAATTGGTGCAAAATCCAACTAACGTGGTCGGAAATCAAAAGGTGATTACTCATATGGCACGATTGGAGATTCATGCGTCGTAATAATTTCGATTTAAAAGTATCGGGATTTTAAAGTTGCGTAGAAATTCATTGATAAAACCGACAAAAAAGTGGTTCGAAACACAATATGTATTCACAGTTAAATCATTGCAAATGGAACGCGTTGGTCAAAGAGTTATTAATCCAATGCGCTATTCGAAATTCACTACGGTAATAATATCTGATTAAAGGTATCGGAATTTCAAAAAAATTAGCAGAAATCTGTTAAAATAATTGCTGAAGGAGACTACATGGATTTACGATTAAATCAATGCAAAATCGAACTGAAATGATCAACGATAGGTGATTGCTCATATGCTGAATTGGAATTCGCGTGTCGTAATAGTTTTGAATAAAAATATATTGATTTTAAAGTTATGTAGAAATCCATTGTTATAACTGACGAAAAAGTTTCTTGAATAACAACGTGAATTCACGACAAAACGATTACATATCAAACGCGCACATCAAAAAGCTATTATCCAAATGTGGGATTCGAAATTTACTTACTATATCCTATTTAAAATATCTTGATTTCAGAAAACAATTTAGAAATCTGTAACAATAATTGCTAAAGAAACCATATGAATTTATGATAAAAACGGCTCAAAATAGAGCCTATCAAAAGATGAGCACTTAAGTGCGCGATTCGATATTTATGTATCGTATTAATTTCTTGCGTTATTTTTGCGCAACGCTCGGGATTTCTGAATTTTTTCAGTTCCTGTGGAATTGGAAGCTTTGAAATTGTGTCACAACTTAAAAATGTGTGCTAAAAAAAACGCAATTATGGATTTTATAAAATGTAAATGCAAATCCTCAGACTGTTTGTCAATTTGACAATATTTGTTGGGCTGTCAATGTACACGTTTGGTTAAAGAAACTTTAAGTATGTAAATAATTTAAGTAGTTTCAAGTACTTTTTATTTATATTTTTATGATTTGAGTTGTTGTTGTTGTAGGCCATTAAGGCAAGGGGTGCGATTGTTTCTGTTTTCTAGTGGTGCTATCTATGGCGGCTAAGAATTTGAATTCTGTCACATCCGTTTGTAAGGCGGACCCATATATACGTCCATTCATTCATTCATAGATCGTAATTTTGACCTGAGCCAAAGAAGAACCAATTTCCAAATTAGTACCCCCAGATATATATTCTGTTATGGAAACAAGGAGGACTTTGTAACCCGAAAGATTTTACGTGCACCAATCACCATTTTACTACACGGGGAGTCTTCGGCCAACTTTATTCGAACTCCCGTTCGCACGAACGTGAGTCCAGTGCCTTACCAGCCAGGCTATCCCAGCCACATAAATTGACATAATTGAATTAATTGACATAATTGAATTTTCAGACCTATAGTTCTTTTTCCAGCCTCTGCCTGAATAAAGTAATTAATTAATCATCAGTGTATTTGTTAAATTAAGTTTGATTAATCACAATATTGTTTGTTATTTTTATATTTTTATTACATTAAGTTTAGTTAAAAGATAATTTAAATTAAACAACTACTAGTGTACTCTAAATTCCCATATAAACGTAATTTTAGGCATATTTTAACCTTTACACTGATTTAGTTTTTAACTATAAATATTTTTCCATATGCATACAGCAATAATTTAACAGTTTTCATATTTTAATTTAGTTTGAAGTATTTACTATAGTAACTATAGTATAGTAGTATAGTCTATTACTATAGTAAAAGTTACAAAATATTGTATAACTTACTTTCTAAACACTAATTAGTTCAGAACAATTATATCTATATCTGATACATTTGAATACTATTTTGGTTATACTAAAACTTTTTAAGATGCTTTCTAATATCTAAATTATATAATACATATAGTTGCTTGTGCTTTTCCGTTTGTATTTAAGCTTTGTATTGCTTTTTATAGGTAAAAAGGTATATACTTTCATAATTAGTGTGTAATATTGTAGTCTATTATCTTTCTCTCTAAGTATAAACTGTTATTTTGAAAAAAATCCAAATTTAAAATAAAGTGAAAAATATTTTTTGAAGGAATATCACATTCTTTGATTCTCTTGAAACATAACTTGAATTAATCAATGGATTAAAATAATGATCTATTTTCATGTGATATAAGGTAACGTACTTAATGTAAACAATACATGCTTTTGTTACTATATTTTCTTTTTTTATATTTTAGATTGAACTCTTCAAAAATTACTGAACTTAAAGAATTATTAGTGGAAAAAGTTGAAAATCTTGAAGCTTTAACATCAAAGTAAGTCAAATATATTATATTATATTATAGCATTAAAAAACTGATATTTTATATGTACTGACTTTTAATTTAGTTTTTTTTTTTTAGTTTTTAAAAATGTTTCAAAATTTTAACCTAAAGTTAATAATTTTCTAAAATTTTATGCTTAAGCCTTGTTATATCTGAATATGACAAGAATCAAATTAATACAAGTTTATATTTGTTTATACTATATCATTTTAAATTTTCTCAAAATTTTTGACCGGGAAATGATTTTAAACACGTTTGATTTGGCATTTAAAAAAAAAGAAATTATAGCTATATGGGAAGTTGATTTTATGAGTTGTGATGTAAAAAAAGTTGTTTTCCTATTTGTTATATATAACAAATTAAAATGCTGTCATTAAATCCATATAGTTATGAAAAAAATAAGATAAAAACGATTTTTTTAATAACTTTATGGGAAGTTGATTTAATGAGTTGTGATATTAAAAAAAGAAGTTTTCTTTTATGTTACATATGAGTTTTTTTTAATGTTATATATATTTAGGTAAAAGAAATAAAAATCACACAAAAATTCTTTACTCATATCTGTACTTTTTCTTTTCTCCTGCCCTTTTTGGGGCAAATTGGAACAAAGTTTTTATTCTTTTAAGTTTAAATTGAACATGTCAGTCATTATTTAATGGTTACAGCTATCAGGAAAATAATTAGATGATTATAACAGAAAGGTCTTATATAGTTTTGAATATATAAGTAAGACTTTTTTATTCAATGGTACTAATATCTTGTAACATGGTTTAAAATTTATTTTGATAACATGAATCAAGTTGTTATCGACTTAAAAGTTTGTTTTGTGGTAACATATTTAAATGAGCAAAAAACTCTTCGCAAAATATGAAATACTTTTATTAATCACAAAAAATGAATAAATAAATTTAATCACTATGCAAATTAAAACATTCTTAATTCTAAAAACTTACATTCTCATTTTTGTGAAAAGTCAAGTTTTGCATTATTGTATACTTTGTATTCAAAATTACACTTAAGAGAAGGGTCAAAGTTCTATGGACTTTAAAAAGGTAGAGCTTTAAATAAGGATTATTATTTAGGCATGTTTGTTAATAGCTGGTGATAGTTTTGGGCATATTTGGTTTTAATGTTACACATATTTTTAAAAAAATAAAAAAATCGTAATATTTATTTATATATTTTATTTTATTATTTTTTTAGAACAGGTGGCATGCAAGATATCATATGTCCCTGTGTTAGATATATATGTCAAAATTTATTGTTTTTATTATTACTAGACCAATTTACTATTATTATTATTTTTTCAAAAAAATTTTTATTTTCAACAGTGATTCTCCTACGAAATAGTTGTAGGCTTGCAAAAAATATGTTTATAGCTGTCAATGTCATTCTTAATATTTTATAGCTGTTCAAAACATAATTTTTTTGGCAACATTTTGAAAAACAGATGATTTCTAGACTGAAAAAAAAACAAACAGAACTTCTTCTAGAAAAAAAAAATTTATTCTATAAAGTATGTAATTTCGCTTAACTTACTTTTTACTGAACCTGAATTTTGTAGCGAGTTTTACTTATAATCACTGACATAAAGTGAAAGAAGTAACTTTATAAAAAAATATTTTTCTGTTACATCAAACAGCTGCTTTTTAACTTGTGTATTTCTAATAGTTTGTTGTATCTTTATAATTTCTGAGTAAATGATTTTTCTATTGTATTTGCTGGTAAAATTTTCATTTTATTTCATTCTTTTTCTAAAAAAAATATTATTATTAGTTTTCATTATTTATTAGTTAATAGTAATCTTTAATGTATATTGTACTACAAAATAATAGTTTTTATGCATTATTAATAATTATAAGTAAAATCTTTTTGGAAAATTTGATATGTTATTATTAATTTTTTGAATATTTTTTTATTTGATAGTTTATATTAATCTTTAGTAGAAGAAGTAGTGGATACTTTGATTCTAGATACTCAGAATGATAATTTTTATTTATATTACTAAGCTTAAATTTGTTAAATTATTAATCTGTTATTGTGTGTTTTTTCTTAGCTCAAATTGTATTTTATTCTTTTTAAAACTTGTCCTTTAGTAGCTAATTTATTTTAGTGCAAGTTATTTTTCCAAAGCATTGAACAGCTGCTTTTTACCTTTTTAACTTGTGTGTCTAATAGTATGTTGTATCTTTATAATTTCTGAGTTTCTAATTTTTCTGTTATATTTTATATGCTGGTAAAATTTTCATTCTATTTAATTTTTTTCTAAAAAATGACATTATTAGTTTTCAGAATTTATCAGTTAATTTTTATCTTTAATGTATATCATACTGTATAATAATAGTTTTTATGTATTAAATTTGAAGTGTTCGTATTAATTTTTTGAATATTTTATTATTTGTTGCGTCATATTAATCTTGAGTAGATATAGTACCTCTGACTAATAATTTTCATATACATAATTAAACTTAAATTTGTTAAATATTTAATTTGTTGTTGTGCATTATTTTTTAGTTCAAATTGTATTTTAATCTTTTGAAATTTTGTCCTTTAGTAGCTTTAATTTATTTCGAGTTGAAACTCTTTTTTTAGGGTGAACGAATTGGAGAAGAGTCTATCTATAACAGTTGAAGAACGAAATAAATTTGCTCTTTCATTAAATGAATTGGAAATTAGAAACAAAGAACATCTTGAAGAGTATGAAAAAATTTTATGCAAAGAAAGAAAAGTATACATATTTTCTTTACAATTGCAATTGAATGGTTTTAATTTTTTTAAAAATAAATTTAAAATTTAATTAAAAAAATTTTCTTATTAATTCAAATAATTTAAAATAAAATAACAAATAAATAAAATATAAACGTAATGAACAAAATACATAAAAAATTTAATTTGATGTTTTTAAAATTTTAAGTAACTTTAGAATAATGTTTTAAAAATATTATATCTATTATCATAATTAATGGAAGTTAACAAAATATTAATCCTAATTTTAACTAAAATTTGAACATAGTTATGTTCTTTTCTATTTCACATTTTAAAATAAATTCATTTTTTTTTTAAGAATAGTTTTTTATGACCTCATTTAGTTCAAAACTTTTAGAAGTTGCAGTTACACTGAAAATTCAGTCCTATTCATAATCATTAGCCTAGCTGGATTTATTTTTCATTCATTTTTAATTTCAAATTTTGCTATTCTTAAATTTGGAATGTTTGACTTCATTTTGAACAGCATTCTTGGAACTTTATTGTCTCACATTTTAAAATAAACCCTCTATTAAAGGATATTTCATGTAGAATAATCTTTTTTCTTGAATCTGACATATTTTGTCCTCAGGATAATTGATAAATAGTTGTCACCAACAATTTTTTTAATGGTTATTGCTGGAAGTTTTTGTTGTAGAAAATAACTTTCTTTTATTGAATGTCATTTTAAGTTCTGGTTACCGTATATTCTGGCGTATAACGCGCACTTTTAATGCAAAAAATAACATTGGAATTTACGGGTGCGCGGTATACGCCGAATATAAAAAATTATAGACTAAAAAAATTTAAATATAGAAAAATACTTTTATTTTAAAGAAATAACATACCTATATACTTTATTGATTTTCGTTATTACATAAATAGTTCATTATATTCGTCTTTCGTTATTTCTTCAGGCGCGTCATCACAATCTGTTTCGTCTTCATCATCTGTGTTACCCTCATCCATGAATAAACAGTCATCTTCTGATCCGTCCAGATTATTTGAAATGCTGCATTTTTTTAATGATTTTCTAACCATCTCAGGCTTAATTTCATCCCATGCTTTTAATATCCATTCGCACACTGTTTCCAAACTTGCATGACGCATATGTCCTCCTTTCGTAAAGGTTTTCTCGCCCTCCAACATCCAAGTGTTCCACTGTTTTTTTAAATTGGCTTTAAATGGTTTGTTTAAGCAGACGTCCAATGGCTGAACTAATGGTGTCAATCCGCCCGGAATAACTGCCATATCGGTGTTACATTCTTTCAACAATTTTTTTGTATTATCTGTAAGGTGGGACCTAAACATGTCCCACACTAAAAGGCTTTCTGGTTTTCTATTGATACTAGACGAGATATTGCACATGTACAATCCGAATTTTCATGCGCGTTATACGAAGAGTATATCTTAAAATTTAAAAAAAGTTATTAGAAATTACGGGTGCGCGTTATACGCCGGGGCGCGTTATACGCCGGAATATACGGTACTTTTTTAGCAATTGTTTAATAAAACTTACAAATTATTATTAGTATTTTTCATGTATGCTATAGTCTTTTATTCCTACTTATTCTTGTTTGCTTTTTATTTTACAAGGTTTTAACTGCATTTGAATAAGAAATAATTTAATAATCTTTTTAAATATTTAAATTGTAGAAGTTTCCATTTTTCTTTAACTTTAAAAAAGTAATAAATTATAACTTCATGTGTATGAATGTTTGTTTAAAGGAAGTAGGGTTTCATGTAGAATTTTATATTTGAGGATGTATAAAATTATTTAACAATTTCATATACTTATTTTCTCTCTTAGATGAAAGAAGAATTAGAGGAAAGGCTGCAGAAAGAAATAGGTTCTCTTAAACAGGAAAATTCATTTTTTAAAAATCAGGTACGCAAAGATAAAATACTTTATTGTAGAATTTAAAAATTGTAAATTTCTTAAATTTTTATTATCCAATTTTTAAATTTGTAACATACAATTTTCAAATTTTTATTGAAAAATTATTTGTAACTAAACAAAACAAGTCAAAATTATCAAAAATATTTTTTTTAAGAATATTTTTTAAAAACTATAAACATTATTGTAGTGAATAATTATGGTAAAATTATTAAGTTGTCAAAGATGAAATTTGAAGTTAGTAATGTTGCCAAATTTAACAGTTAATATTTTATCATTCATTTTTTTGGGGGGGTAGAGAAATTATGAAATTTTCCTGTTTGGTTGCACCTCTCTCACCTTGCAAATGTGCCTAAAATAGGAGGCAGGGGTCTGTTTAGAAGAACTTTGGGTCCGTTAACGGACCCTTCACAAAATATCTTTTCATAAAAACGGACCCTTCACAAAATATTTTAACTTAAAAACGGACCCTTCACAAAATATTTTAACTTAANTCTCAGACTACCACATTAGAAATATAGTGCAAGAATTGAAAAAAATGATGGAAGAACTTAAGAAAAACAATCTAAATTGGTTTACAAATTAGGTCTTATCTTATTGCATGACATTCCTAGATTACACTATTCACAAATGACCATGGTAAAATTACGGGAATTGAAATCAGAACTTCATTATTATCCACATTTACCAGGCATACCCCACTAGCAATCACTTCTTTCTAAATTTGATTAATTTTTTCATAGAAAATAGTGTGATTTCAATCGACTTTCACCTGGAATTATACTATTGGTCTGAAGGTTGATGCATTCTTTAATGAATAATGTAATATCCATATTTATAAATTATCAACCTACCTTGCCTATTTTTCCACAAGCTTCACTCTTTAGAACCTAAAAGAATTTAAAAAAAAATTATCTTAAAATAAACTTATTACTAAATTGTTTAAAAATATTTTTTCATATTACAGTTTTTAAATTTTTTTTAATTTCTCTTTTTTAATTATGCATGTAAATGTTTTTATAAGAGTACATTTTTTATTTGTTCTCGTTGTAATTCGTTTTTTTTGCACTTAAATAATTGTTTTTACCCCTTTTTAGATTCATGATTTAAAAAACTTACAATTACATCATGAAGAGAAGATTGCTAAATTGCAAACTACTGTTAAAAAACTTGATACACAATTTAAAACTGAACATGATGCTTATGAAGGTATACAATTTTTCATTTTTTTTTCAACTGTAAATTATTATCAACATTTGTTCTTTTCTTTCATAAAAGAAATAGTAAAAATCAGTTATTAGAATAAAATTAAATGCATCAATTAGATTTTTTTTTATAAATTACTGGGGCACATATTTTTTTCTCAATATGACGAATTGAAATTTTTTTATTAAATGCTTTTATTGTTACTGTTGAACTGAAACAAATTAATATCTAATAACATTTTTAACTTCTTAATTCAAACAGTTTCTCAGTTTTTAGAATTCTTTGCAGTTCTGATATTAATATTTTTTTAGTTAATTTGTATTCTTTTTTCCCAAACTATTTTGTCACAGAGTCGTGTTTTCTCTTGACTTCTTTTTTCAACTGTGATACTCAAGTAATGCAAAATATTTTTTTAATCAACCAGGATAGCCTGGTTGGTAGGGCGTTAATCCCATGTCCAAGAGGTAATGAGTTCGATCTATGCTGGTCGAAGACAAAATGGTGACTGGTTCATTCTAAATTTATTGGGGTCGCAAAGTCCTTCAAGGTCCTATAACAAATCAATACCTCTGAGGGTACTGGATCAGAGATTAATCATGTTCTAGTTCAGTTCAAAATTATGATCGTAGGATGATGGTGTGTGAAGGCGTTCTCCTGTAAAACGGGCTGTGATGTATGTGTGTGGCAGAAGTTAAATTCTTGGCCATAGGTAGCGCCACTGGGAAACGCGAAGAAGTGTACTTTGCCTTAAAAATATTGTCAGTATTGACAAGTATTTTTAATTATTTAGTATTAAGTCAGTATGACATAAGACAACAATAATTTTTTCAGCAGACTTTTAGTGGTTATATGAATATAAAATAGAACAAGATAGTAATAAAAATATATTCTATCAATTAAATAGAACAGCAAATATAAAGGACATTACTGCTCTTCTGTAAAATCATGTAAAATAAGGATACAGTTCTGGTTTTTACTTATCAGAATGTTTTGTTCTTTTAAAAAGATTTGCCATGCGTGTCTAATCTTAAAAGGCTTTTCAATCAATTAATCAATCTGTTGTATTAAATATTTTGAAAAAAATATGATTTTATTAATGATAATTTTAATATAGTTATACAATATTTCAATGATAAAATTTTCATTCCTTGAAACTGGCATCAACGCAGAAATTTCTGCTCTTGTTTCGGAAATTTTTTTTTCCATGTGTTTATTAATTTAATTTTAATTGAAAAGTATGGAAGACTGTAAAGAAAAGTTTTATTTTATAATACATTTTTACTATTTTTTTTTGTTTTTTTAATTATTTGTGTACAGTATTTTAGTAATTTCATAATAGGCTCTTATTTACTGTGGAACGTTATGTCACTACTATAAATAAGCATCAGTTTTCTTGTATATTTGTTATATATTTTTTTCAATAATGCAAATGTGCTGTTCAGCACTTAGACTTATAATCATTTATGTTCATAAACTTTGTTCATACATATATATATATATAAATAAATTATATATATTAATGTATAATTTCTAATTCTATCTTGAGTATCTTTAAAAGTTTTTGATTATTTTGTCTACAATTAATATTACAAACAAAGGAAGATCTTTTTTATTTTCAGAACAGCTTCTATTTTTGAAAGAGCAACATTCTGAAATATTGCGAGAAGAAAAGTTGTTACACCGAAAAGAGGTGAGAATATTTTATCAAATGGTTCACACTACCTTTTGCATTCATTTTGTTTAAAAATTAATTATTGTAAATCATTCAGTTAGAATATTTTTTTCTTTGAATTTTTTTTTTAACATTCTGGTGAAATCATAGTCTTTTTTCACACTTTTAGTTTTGAAAAATTTAGACAATTTAAAAAATCTGGAAAAATTTTAAATTTTTAGATTATTACTCATATTTTTTAGAATTGATAAGAGAAATTTTTTTAGCTATTTTAAAAATTATTCTAATTATTTTTCACTATAGTTCTTTTTGAATACATCACATGAATTTTAGTGCATCATGTGTAAAAGATTTTAACAAATGATGTGCATAATTTTTATAATTTTTTTTGAATTTTATTTGAAACATAATAATTTTTGTTTTATCTGAGGGAACATTTCTTCTTCTATGGCTTATCAGCTCAATCCTTAAGCATAGTAAAATTTCAAGAAAGAAAGAAGCGCCCTTGAGTGTTAAACCTAGACAATATTCGGTATTTTTACAAAAAATATTCAATCTTTAAGGTGGCATTAGAATAATGGGGACAAGGGATTCTTCAAAGAATGAGCAATTCATGCAGGCAAAATTAATTCCATGCTTTCTGCAGTTTGCTTGAAACGAACGGGAAAATAGAGTTGAATGAATCAAACAAATGCACCAAAATTAATAATATAATATTTGTTAAATTATTAAACCAAATTAGTCAAGTAAATTAAGCATACAAGATTGTAGTTAAATAAAATTACACAAATTAGTAATAGATATTGAAAAATTATAATGGCAATAATGCTTTGGAACTTGAAAAATGAAATAAATAAATATTACTTACACAGTAAGCAATACCACACCTGTTATGAATCGTTAATGATATATATTTTATGAAACGTTTATGTATATGTATGTGGTCATAAAATAATGGAATTATTTTCTCACATTGGTAACAAAAAACATAAACAAACTGGCCTAAAACTACATAGAACTGGTTAGAATCAAGAAATGAGAGTTGCTAAGATCCTTAAATTCTCTCTTTGTTGTGTCTCCTAACTCCCAAATTTACAATTCTATATATTAGAGCCGCGATGTTTCAGGGGATAGAGCGTTCGCTTTTCAATTCAGCAAACTGGATTCGACTTGCACCGACCGCAGTGCCAACGTGAAATATCCTCAGTGGTAGACAGATAATGTGTTAGACTCCCCTTGCCGTCCGGCTAACTGTGGGAGATTCTCGTGATCTTCCTCCCCATGTAATGCAAATGTGGGTTAGCTCCTTCAAAAAGTCTTCCACGAAGGCAAATTTCTCCCAATATTTGATACAGGAGTTCCCTTGTCTTCTGGATTGGGTTCAAAATTGCAAGGATTGGGTACAAAATTCAAAATTATGGCACCGACCACAGTGCCGACATGAAATATTCTCAGTGGTAGACGGATCATGGGTTAGAGTCCCCTTGCTGTCAGGCTAACCGTGGGAGGTTCTCGTGGTCTTTCTCCCCATGTAACGCAAATGCGGGTTAGCTCTATCGAAAAGTCCTCCGCGAAGGCAAATTTCTCCCAATATTAGATCCAGGAGCTCCCTTGTCTTCTGGATTGGGTTCAAAATTACAAGGCTACGAAGTTGAACATTGGTAGTCATAAACCCATAAAATTGGGTTGACTGTTCAACGACGGTTATAAAATAAGATTATATATATATATAAGGAAATTTTTTTGATTTTCAAGATAGCCTTCTGTTGTGTTACTTATGATTGTGACCTTGCACCCAAAATTTTGTTTTAAACTCGAAATACTACCCTTATTTTTATCTATATTGATACTATGCTTTATTTAAAAATGTTATTACCTTTTTTTGTTCTTATACACTTTACAAGTCCATAATACAATAAAGAATTTAAAACTGTTCTCCCCACGCAGTCATTTGAAGCTAGACTTAAATATCTTAGAATCCAATGAGCAAATGAAGCAGACTTAAATTAGATAAAAATCTGATAGGAACTAGGAAAGCAATTTTTGGGGTTGTGGATTATAGCAATCAGAAATTGAGCTGTCCCCCCCCCCCAGTGAAATTTATATTGAATTTGAAAATGAATAAAATTCTTTTATAACAAATAACATATGACCTTCACTAATTAATTTGACACAATTATCTCTGTATTGAGAGAAATTTAAACTTAGCAACAACTGTGTACAACGTTTTAACTAGAACAAATATATGCACTTCTTTCCAGTGATAGTTTTATATTTATCTCAGTTTTGTGTTTTAAAACAAAATAGTAATGTTAAGGAAATAATTAGTCTAGCTAATTGCATTTATTTTCAATAAACTTCAATATCTCAGAGTTTTATTATGGCATTATTATGTGACTATGTTTTATAAAAAAACACATTTTCCTCTTTATTTCAGCTTACAAAGCTCAGAGAAGAATACTTAGAAATTGAAAAGAACTTACAACAAAAGATTTTATTGTTAGGAACTCAAAAATCAGAACTGGCTGAAGTATGTATATATCTTTCTTTTTAAGAAATAAAATTGTAACAGTTCCTGTAAATGTTTTAATTATTTTTTGATAAAAAACTAATTTAAAATTCTTTGTTATAAAATGGTTATTGCTTTTATACTTTTTACTCACTTGTGTCATCGTCTTTATAACATCAGAGTCTTAAATAAGAATATATATATATATGTNTTATGTTTGAATTATTTTATAAATAAAAGTTCCTACCCATTTCTGATCTTTACTCTGATCTTTGCTCATTCATTTTTAAATCTTATTTTTCTTACACGTCAGTTATATTTTTAGAAAATTTTTTGAGATGTAAAGCTGGATCTTCATTTATAAGTATTTTTATATCATTTAACAAATATTGTTGGGTAAATTTTAAAATTTGTTTATATAAAGGCTATTATGACTCATAGCAGTAAGATCTGTTTTCTAGTTGTTTAACACTTATCTTTCTATACTATAACATATTGCATTAATAATCAAAAGATTGAAATTTTGAACATTTCTATTTGCTAAAGGATTAGACTATAATTATTAAATTATCATTTAAAGCCACATATTAACAAAAAATAGGTGGCTAATTAACTTAACATTGGATGATTATAGAAATTAATTGTAAGATTATATAATTTTGTAAGTATAGAACACTTTAAGTTAACACTTGAGCACAATATTTTTGTTATGCTGTTTTTAGACAAAATCTTCTTTTAAAAAAATTTAAAGATATGTGATGCAATAATATGTGTACAGGGTGGTTATAATAAAAACTACCTTTTTTTTGACTTACACTGATTTCATTTTATTGGTGGATTTTGATGTATATGCATTACATGAAACACAGATAATTAATCCATTAGAAAAAAGGTTCAAATTTTGACCACCAAGGAAGAAAAAAATGTAGATAAAAAGCAAAGTACACAAATTGGAGACATATAACTTTGTTTAATCAAAGTATATGTTCAATCATAAAACAAAAAGATTCAACAGTAAACACAAGTATGCCACTTTTATACTTGCTTTCTATTCAGTTTCATTTGAAACTTGCTGCACATTTCTAGCTACCCAGTCTATTCAAAATTAGTAATTATTTTCCCCAGTTGTTTATTCTGAAATGGTCATAGTATAAAATAATTTCATGATTATTTGCTTTTTAAATCACTCCAAATGTATTAACATCCTTTCTCTAACACAAAAAGCGGCATATTTCCGTGGAAATATTATCTATTTTTGTAAGGTTTCTTTTCCTGCAATTCATACAATGTATACCAAGTTTCATCAACACCTGTCCTCAGGAATGAACACTGTTTATTTAAATAAAACAATATTAACTATACCTCGTATATTACAAAACCTTTTCATAATTATTTACTATTTCTTAATTATTCAATTTAACTATTTACTATTAGTGAATAATTATTTACTATTACTTAATAATTATGCAGATGCACACAAATTTTAAAATGTAACAAAATCTTTTACAGCACTGATTGAAATTTGATTTGTGGTCACTAATTTTTTAATGAAAGTTTTTCACTTGCAGTTTTGTAAAATAAAAAGTGGAGCTAAAATTTAAATTTTGGTTTGTGTTGTTATCCCAAATCATTTGATAAAAATTTATGAAATATTTTTGTGTACTTTTAAATTTTTGTGTGAAAGAGTGAAAGGAATCGTTTGTAAAGTTAAGTAACTTTTAATGCTATTTATCTTGCAGGAATTAAAAGAAAGCAGAGTGATACTTTTAACTGAGAAATCTAAAGCTGAAGAAATTTTGCATCAGACTGAAAAGAAAATGAAGTCTGAGCACGTAAAAATGATTTGTCTATATATTTTTATCTTCCTTCATTTTATCCATAATGTATTTTGTTTATTTTGTCCCCATTCAATAAATTTCTTAGACTCTATGGAAGTTTTTAGCTTGTTTACAGCATAATGATTATTGTTCTATTATATTATTGCTATTTTAATTTTTAATGATCGTTTACAAAAAAAAAAAAAAAAAANAAAACAAAAAAGGACACGCAGCACTCAATGTTAAAATTTTTCAATTTCTTTTCAGTATCTTTTAGAATTTTTCAGCAGAATTTACAGTTTGTATCTGCTTTTTAAATATTGATTGAAGTGAAATGACATGATTTATAAATACATAATAATTAAATTGTACAGAATACTTTTATAGTTATAGTTGATTTTATGAAATAATTGCTCAAGTTTTTCTTTCTTTCAAAAAACATTTTCACACCATTATTTTTTTTTAATTTTGAAATTCATGTCTATAAATTTATACTGTAGAAAGAGTAATTTTAATTTCAATTATTATTATTTAGTTTCAATCGTTTGCATTTATAAGAATGTCTTGTTAAAATTACTATGAATTGTAAATTTTTTTAAATTATAGCAGTGAATAAATAATTTATGATATTTTCTTTTCACTGAACTTCTGTAAACTGTGTAATAGCATAAAAAACCAACTTTTACAAAGAAAAATTTCTCAATTGTAGGTGGTCTAGTGGAATATAATCCAAATGTATTATAAAAGTTTGTTTAAATAGTTATAATCACACAATATTTTCATTTCTAACAGCTATTCATAGATAAAGAATGTTTTCCTGAATAATTATAAATTTTTAGATATTTAGGTTGGAATAATTTATTTTTTTTTAGGAAATCTTGAAGACCCAAATGGAAGAAAGAATTAAAATTCTTGAAGATGTTAATAAGAATCAAGAAGTATGTACAGCAATTTCCCTGCTTATGTATTTATAAATTTTATAATAATATAATTGTTTTTTTTTCTATTCATTTTAAAATTAAGAAATTATAAATAGTTAAATGGCACTAGTTTTTTTATGTAGATTGACCATTTTAAAATTTTTCCCAGTGTCAAATGGTCCCGGAGGAAAGAAAAATACCAGCATAAATTAATATTTTAATGCATCTGAGCTATACATTGTCCCCTTATCTCCCAGCGAGGTCACCCAGGTTTGAATTCCAGCGGTGGTTGGTTGATTTGAATTCTGCTACCGGCTCACGCCGGCCACAATGTTGACATAAAATATCCTCAGTGATAGATAGATCTGGGGTTGGAATTCCCTTGTTGTCAGGCTAACCCAGGTAATTTTTCTTCTCCATTTAACACAAATGCAAAAAGCACCCCCCCATCAAAATGTCCTTTGCAAAGGATACTTTCTCCCAAGCTTGATCTAGAAGTTCTCTTCTGGGTTGGATTCAAAATTACAAGGTTAAAGTTGAATATTGATAGTTGTAAACTCAGAATTAATGGCTCTTTAACGCCATTTTTTAAAAATTTATTTTTATTCTTAGCAGTTTTTTGTAAAATCAATTTAATTCCAAAGCTTTGTATGGTTTATTAGACACCGGTTTTGAAATGTACTCATCATTATGTCCTGTTACTGTTTAATAATAAGCATGAATGTTAACTTAAAACCAAAGAGAAGTAAATCAAGTGATACTTTAGAATAATAATGTTTTTAATTGTACTTGATAGTTAAGTATCATATTGTCTTATTTTCAAGAACAATTTAGTGCTAAAAGACCAAATACAAAACCGAATTATGTTATTTTTTCCTGCCGATGGAGTTTATTTCTTTATTTAACATGAATAAGTATTAGTAGTATATTATTATTATTTCTATTAGGACCTGTTGAAACAACATTTACAATCTATGTATACACTGAAAACTAACTTGACTGCCTTAGACCTAGCCTTGGCTGAAGAAAAACACCGTGAGCAGTATTTAGAACAGGTTTATATTTTGATTATTTAAATTTTTTTATAATTCCTAAATATGTTTTACATTTTGCACTAAAGCATTATTTTAAAATTAAATGATGATTAATGTATTCTTTTATAATTAATTTTTATCATTCATGAGTATTGCTTTTAGAATTCATTATTTATTAATTTAATTCAGATTAAAAATTATTTTTCAGATAATAAAACTGAATACTTTAAAAATGTTTATTAAAATTGATACTCATTGCTACTTCAAATTTGTAATTTTATTAAAAATGTCATATTATTATAAATATAAGTATTATTGCATTTTTCGGCTGATTATTTATTATTAATGTAAAAAATATTTAAAAAAATCTTTTTTTTTAATATAGAGAAAAAAGATTTTCTTAGATATATATTATTATACTAATACATGATTAATTATAATTATTATCTCAGATAAATATTTTAAAAGTTTAAATTTTTTAATGGTTTTTGTAAAGTACTTTTTTCAACAACTCAACAAAAGTTAGTAACACTTGAAGTTATTTTGTTGACCATGTCAAACATTTTTGTAATACACAAAATTCATTAATCTTATTTTAACCTTGTCAAACAATACTGAATGTTTAATTTTACAGTGAAAATATGTTATCCCTTAACACTTGTAGTTTATTGACCTTATAAAGAGATACTGAATTAGCACAATAAATTTTTACATCGGTAGTTGGATATTTCCCCCCCCCCCCTGGCACATTAGAAGAAACTTAACACAATAAAAGAGAACTGAAAATTATAGTTAAAAATAATCTTAGTTTCTTTTATTTGAAAAAATTATTAATTAGCAAATTAATTTAATTTAGAGACTTGCAGAAAAAGATGCTGAAAAAGAAGCAGCCATAGCAAAAGCTAAATTAGAGTTTAAAGAGCAACTTGAAGAACTGGACAGGTCAAAACTACACATAGAAGTTAATGATACAACTAATCTTCTGAAACAAAATATAAAAGGTAAAACATGAAATTAAAGTTTATGGTTATAAAATAGACAATTTAACTATTTTATATGTATAGTTAATTAATCTCAGTTTATAATTTATATGACTTTGCAAAAATGATAGCTGTTAATAATATTTTGTCATATTGTTTCCAGTTGTAAAGTGTGGGAGAATTATGCATTCGCATTTCTTAGAAAAATACACAAAAATAAATTTTCAAACTTCACCCAACTTAAAAACTGTTGTCATAGAATAATTTTTTTGATATATGGGTGATTCTCATGAAACATGACAATTCGGACCAAAAAATTTCTTCAAATTTAAAGTCTTTAAAATAATCTAAATTTTTTTTGTATACTTCTTTAGCTACACTTATTAATATCTTATAGACAGCAGTGTAGTTTATTGACATTTGATCGAGAAAAAAAATAAAATAGAAATTCACCAAATCTTGAACGCCGGGAAAATGACATATTACCTTAGAAGTTTAAAAAACAGTCATTTTAAGTTAATAGTAAGTAACTCAACTTAAACCTTTATGTTAGATGGACCATAAATTGCTTAAATTAATTCTTTTTATCNTTTCCTGCTGATGGAGTTTATTTCTTTATTTCACATGAATAAGTATTAGTAGTATATTATTATTATTTCTATTAGGACCTGTTGAAACAACATTTACAATCTATGTATACATTGAAAACTAACTTGACTGCCTTAGACCTAGCCTTGGCTGAAGAAAAACACCGTGAGCAGTATTTAGAACAGGTTTATATTTTGATTATTTAAATTTTTTTATAATTCCTAAATATGTTTTACATTTTGCACTAAAGCATTATTTTAAAATTAAATGATGATTAATGTATTCTTTTATAATTAATTTTTATCATTCATGAGTATTGCTTTTAGAATTAATTATTTATTAATTTAATTCAGATTTAAAATTATTTTTCAGATAATAAAAACTGAATACTTTAAAAATGTTTATCAAAATTGATACTCATTGCTACCTCAAATTTGTAATTTTATTAAAAATGTCATATTATTATAAATATAAGTATTATTAAATTTTTCGGCTGATTATTTATTATTGATGTAAAAGATATTTTAAAAAATCTTTTTTTTTTTTTAATATAGAGAAAAAAGATTTTCTTAGATATATATTATTATACTAATACATGACTAATTATAATTATTATCTCAGAAAAACATTATTAAAAGTTTAAATTTTTTAATGGTCTTCGTAAAGTACTTTTTTCAACGACTCAACAAAAGTTCATAACACTTGTAGTTATTTTGTTGACCATGTCAAACATTTTTGCAATTACGCAAAATTCTTTAATCTTATTTTAACCTTGTCAAACAATACTGAATGTTTCATTTTACAGTGAAAATATGTTATCCCTTAACACTTATAGTTTATTGCCCTTATAAAGAGATGCTGACACAATAAATCTTTACATCGGTAGTTGTATGTTTTCTCCCCTGGCACATTTGAAGAAACTTAACACAATAAAAGAGAACTGTAAATTATAGTTCAAAAAAAAAATCTTAGTGTCTTATATTTGAAAAAATTATTAATTAGCAAATTAATTTGATTTAGAGACTTGCAGAAAAAGATGCTGAAAAAGAAGCAGCCATAGCAAAAGCTAAATTAGAGTTTAAAGAGCAACTTGAAGAACTGGACAGGTCAAAACTACACATAGAAGAGCTTAATGATACAACTAATCTTCTGAAACAAAATATAAAAGGTAAAGCATGAAATTAAAGTTTATGGTTATAAAATAGACAATTTAATTATTTTATTTCACTGTATGTATAGTTAATTAATCTCAGTTTATAATTTATATGACTTTGCAAAAATGATAACTGTTAATAATATTTTGTCATATTGTTCCCAGTTGTAAAGTGTGGGAGAATTATGCATTCACATTTCTTAGAAAAATACACAAAAATGAATTTTCAAACTTCACCCAACTTAAAAACTGTTGTCATAGAATAATTTGTTTGATATTTTATTGTTTATTTACAAAAAGTGTTTTGTTTATTACAAAAAGTGTAAGTATTTATCTTATGACAAAAGTTTAAAATTTACTATAAGAATACAGTCAAGGTGTGTTATTGCAAACCCAGATTTAATGAGATCCCAGGTTTAATTAGGAAACTTTTCATAAATGGTTGATTTTATGTTTAAAAGTTTACATAAAACTCAGTTACTAAAAGCGTAAATCAGATTTAATGAGAAATCTTTTATAAAATTCTGGAAATTTTTGTTAAAATTGCCAGAAAAAAATGATTGATTGTAAAAAAATTTCATTCCTTTTGAAACTGTTTTTAAAAAAAACTTTTTAATTAAAAAACGTATGTAGCTAAGCAAAAAAGGAACTCTATGGGAATCAATGTTGATATATATATATATAAAAAAAGAAAGCTCACCAGATTTAAATAAATTATTGAATGCCTTATAATTTATCCAGGATTGTCTATTCATTTGAAAGACTTTAGTTTAGGAGTTAAATGTATGTTTTATTAATAATCTTATATGACTAGAAAATACCAGAGTTAATTTTTTTAGGCACTTTGTGTGTGATTCTTATAAATTAACTGAATTCCTTATTAGTTACAGAAGAGAAAATCATAAAAATTAATATCTAGAACAATAACCTTTAACTTAATAGATTTCAATATTTACATACATTGTTATAATTGTGAAGTTCGAATGAGAAAATACCTTATTTCATAGCTATTCAGATAACCCAGAATACGCTTTATTAATTTTGAAACAAAATAAACATTTTAAGACAATTTTCATAACATTCTTTATTTTCTAATGTTTAGACTTGGAAACAAAACATCAAGAAGATTTAGTATCCAAAGATGTAGAGATCCAAATGTTAAAACTCCAAATCCAAGAAGAAAAAAATAAATTTAACCAGATCTTGGAAGAAGAAGACAAAAGAACTTTGCAGTTACGAAATGCTTTTGAAGTATATCTGGCTTCTTCTAATCGAATTGCCAAAAGTTCTGGTTTTGTGCCAGGTGATTCAGATTTATGATAAAGAATTATTTTTACATGCGCAAAACAAAACAATTATCAATTTAAAGTTTGCAAAAAATAAATATATATTTTTATATTAAATTTTCTCTGCATAAAATGATGTCTGTGTAAATATGTAAATAAAATTTAATGTATATAAATAGTTGATTTATTTAGTTTCAGGTTTATTGGAGAACCTACTTTTTTTTTTGTACCTGCAAAAGAATAGCTCTTAACTCGGGCTTTTGTATTGATTTTTAAAAAAATATCTACATGACATAAGCTAATATCACATAAAAATGGGTAAATCCCTCATAGGCACATAGAAAATGGGTAAAAAAAATTCCATAAGCAAATTAACGAACATTGAACATTTATTGTTATTTTATTTAATAATAACTGTGTTATGACAAAGCATTTTATTATTTTGCCTCCTACTCATACTAATAAATAATCTACACTTGATATGAAAGAACTTCATTCAGTGAATATTTGTTGTATATTCATCATTACTCTAAATGTGAATGAAGGACTAAATTGCCTGCTAGTCCACTTAGCATTTCAAAGGTTTTGATGTTGCACGCTGATTTTAGATGCTACAGGGCTCGGATTGAGTCACTTAATGTCATTATCTTAAAAAATAGTAACTTTTGGTCACTTATCTCCTTTTCAATTAAAAGAAAAATTTCACATTTCCCCCTCCATTAAACCCATGATATTATGATCCACCTGCGCTAGTAAAGAAAGATTCATCAGAATAGGTGGAGCATAGAAGAGGATTGAATATGTAATGAAAAATAGAGAGCTTCTACTTTCAAATGAATATCTCTTGAAATGCACGAGAACCAATCACAGTATCGAGGTATGATTTTATCATCTATCTTAACTTTTCAATTTCTTATCTGCTGGGGAGCTGCCAGGATATGAAATTTTGTGCTTTTCTCCTGGAATTGGATTTACTTTTTTTATAGGGTACATATACATCTTAAAAGTGCCTAATTTTGCATCATAAAAATTAAGTACTCTTAAAATTTTCTATTTCTCGTTTAAAGTGCTTAAAAGTCCTTACTTTTTCTTTGACAAAGTGTAAATACTATGTTTACTTTTATATTACGTTTATCATTATTACTTTTTTCCTTTTCAAAAAAATTGAATTTTATTTTGAAAATAAGATGTTTTTACGTCTTGCAAACTTAAGTTATCTCTTTTTGACACTTAATTTCGTGTCGGATGTTTTTCAAATTATTTTTGATGTCCGTAGTTATTTAGAATTTTTTCAGTCCTTTCTCTGGGGTTACAATAACAAATGAGTACAATTCATAAACGTGAATGGACTATTCATGATATCAACAATATTTTTGTTGTGAACTTTCACTTCTATTCTTTCAATTTTAGTTGTTTTTAAACATATAACGTTTTTTTGTTACAAAAATGTTTATTTTTCTTTTTAATAACGGCAGGCACTGAACTTTTGTTCTTCACGTCAGAAGATGCCGGAAGTGTTGCTCATTTATCGTTACCCAGTGGGCACCTGTGAACCAAAGTCACGGAGGCGAGCAACATTACCCACGCCACAAATACCCGTTCATAGGGTGGGCCACATTCATACATCAGAAGACAACACAGAGAGAGAGAAACATCCATGCCCAGAGTGGGATTCGAACCCGCAGGCCATTGGCTTCGCAGTCAGGCACGCTAACCACTCGGCCGGCTGTTACAAAAAATTAGAAAATACTTATAAAGTAATTCTTAAAAAAAAAATAAAGAAATTGTGATAGCAGTTAATTAAAATGTAAAGTTATTTGATTTTGACAGAAATAAATGTTTCTAAATTTTTAACTTTAAACTTTTTTTTTTAACTTGTATATTTTTAAGGTTGTTTAAGATGTTGCCTTCTATATATTTGTTCACTGTTTTAATTAAGCCACTATTTAAAAAGTTTTAATAACTTTTTTCACTACATTTTCTACAATGACCTGTGCTGAGTCCAAGACGTTATGACGATATCTGTCTTCTCTATGATTTAGCATGATAGCTTCTATCTGGAGGAAAGTTTAGCAACTAGTTAATATATAAAGCATAGCTCTGGTTGGGATAGATCAACTTAAGGTGACCTTTGAACAGAAAGATTAGTTACATTATGTTGAAACTTTTTCTCTTTTAAACTGAATATGGGTGCTTTCACTTTCAATGAAATCAAAATTTAACTTACAATGAAAACATTGATGATTGAAAAACATAGGTTTTGTAAGTGAAATTATACTTTGCAACATAAAAACTCACATTTCCCTCTAAAAAGTAATATTTTAACTGCCATTTTTAGATTAAATTCAATTCTAAAATGTATACCACTCTTTTTTGAAGAATGACTTTTGTAAAAAATATTGGTTTCATTTAGTGTATAAATGTGTGAAATTAATTTCTTAATTATCCTCAGTAACGTTAAAAACCAGTCAAAATTTCATCAAAAACATGAGATTTTGACTGCATTTTCAGATAAAGTGTAAACTCATTTATTAAGTGTATGATTCCATTTGAAAGAAAGGCTTTCGTAGAAAGAATTTATATTCAAAATAAGAGTTTCACGATGTATATTTGATTTCTCGTATTATTTAAATAATTTACACTCTGTTTAAAAGTGTATTAAATGTAAATTAATCACATGACCCGCAAAAGCCTATGCACAGATAATAAATAAATAATTATAAAAATCAGACTAATAGGATCATTTTGCAAACACCAGAGAATAAATCATGACTGTGAATAAATTTTTGAGAAAAAAAACTGAAAAAGCATTAACAGGCAGTGATTTGTTATTTTATTTTTCTTAAATTTCCTTGAGATGGTGAATAAAACTAGTATATATACGTGATGTTTATGTTGTCTAAAAAGATTTGAATCATCAAATGAAAAATATTTTATTTTGTAAAATTTTACAAAACATGAGAGTAAGGTAGAAAATTGAATAAGACTATATATTTACGTATTTACATAAAGATAAAAATCAGAATTATATAATAAAGGATCATTGCACAACATGTCTTACCTTAAACAAGGTAGTGCAAACTTTAAGAAAGCAATTCTGGGTTTTAATTAAAGTCAAGCGACCATTTTTGCTCACTTGTACATCAGAGACATGTAAAATAATTTAAATAAGTATAATTAAAAATATAATTCACAAGTAAAGTGATACATTTCAATCAACGTGCAATAATCAATTGCTAAAGGTTGCATTAAAGAATAGTTTTATTTTGTTAAACTAGTACTTTTAACTTGGCAATGGTTAAGTGAAGCTCTGCCAATGTAATAAGATTTTAATCTAAATTTTTTTAAACATAGCATAAATTATGACAGCACAATTTTAGCACAGATATAAATAGAAACAAATAAAAATACATAGTTGCATTTCAAATAAAATTAACACAATATATATAAAAAGTACCTAGTATAAACTCGACAAATTCAAATAAAAATACAAAATTTGAAACATAATAAAATATAAAATACTTTTTATTTTATTTAATAATCTCTAAAATATCCCTGCAACTAAAACTGATTTAATAAAAATATATATTCTATATAGATTTCAGTTGAAGAGGTAGTGATAACTCCTTTGAAATTGCAAATAATTATAAACAATTGTTTTGATCATTTCATATTGCACTCACAAAAACTAATACTGAAGAGCTTAAAGAGCGAAGAGAAATATTGCAAGTAGATTAACGTTTGTGGTCCATGCATATTTGAAACATTTAATAGTAATTTTGATTTGCATGCTATTATTATAAATATAGGAATTTTTAAATAGACTAAAAATCAAAAAGCAACTTTTATTTAACTTTACATGTTATTGAAAAGTTTCTTTTGAGAGGTTTCTTTTCTATGTTAAGTTTTTTCCATTTTAATTTCAATAATTAATCATTTTAATTTCATAGTCTTAGAACTGCATGAAGAAAATGTTAAATAAAAATGTAGTAAAATATTGAAGGATTCTGTGGAATCTGCTCTAATTTGACTTTTTAACTTAATTTTATATTACCTACTTTTTTATATAAAGAAATGATGGCTATGAATAATTATTAGAATGTTTGAAGTTCTTTTTCTAACTATAAGGAGGTCTTTTTTTTCTTCTTCAAATGGATATTTTTTAAGCATATAGTGGTCTATTATTTGAAGTATATTTATGTAATAAAAAGGTTTTTTTTTTTCAAGAAAATTTCTTTGTTTTAATTATGCATTAGTAAAATTGCAAAGGGTACGATTGTCAAAAATACTGAAATACCCATCCACCTTCAGAATATGGGAATTCAATTTATAAACAACATTAATAAAAATTGGCTAAAAAATTCATTTCTTGTTGAAATATGATATAATTAACTATCCTGACTGATAGCATTTAAAGTGAATGTAAAGTAGTACTAAGATAAATGCGCCCAGAACAGAACAATAATTGGTAATAAGATTTTTTAGAAGTAGAATGTGGGTGTAATGTGAATATTTATTGTCATATGCTTCTGTTTATGACAAACACCATCGATCATCAGGTATTTTCGATCAGCCAACCAAACGGAAAAAAATGGCATGATTTCATAAGAGGTAATTCAAGTATTACTACTTATGAAATCTGTGCAGCATTTTGACATGAGTAAATGAATGGTGCAATTATCTTTTGCCCCTAAAAATCTTATGACTATTTATTGTTAAGTTTTGAATGCATTCTTCTTAGCTCGACTTTACATTAATTCACTTTAAATGTTCCAAGTCAAAATTATTAATAAGTTATAAGCAATACACTCCTCTTTTAACCTTCCTTTAAAACCCAGACTAGTGTTGATGTTACCATTCGGGGTTTTAAAGGAAGTACTTCATATCTAACGCTATCACACTTCTGCCCACTTTTTATTTGAGCAACCTTTATATTTTGATTTTTGAGAATTTCCTGCAGAAGTTAAATGGAGCAAAGAAAACAACAGCAAAGTATTAAATTTATGAGCTGCTATCAATGTAGCTGCAATTAGAAATTTTAAAGGTGGAGAAAGAAACAGTTGGTTTGAAACAACTTAGCACCAAACATCATGTAAAAAAACCTCTTGAAGAATTTTTAAAAGTTACAAAATTCTTCTT